AGTAAATACTTATAACTTAATTTCTCATATTAGAACGAAGGACCACAGTTTTCATCACGTTAGAAGAAGAAACTCAAATACAAATATAATTTTACTTTCATAAAGACTACATAACTAAATCTGAGAAACGAAAAACAAATTCGGTGTATTATCTTCTTCCTCATCTGATTCTTTATACATATTCTTTAATCTGTGGTCTGATTTAGGCGGCCTATTTTTCCCACCTATGCATTCTACAATATTCATAAGCATGTCAATTTCTTTAGAAGAAAATAGATCATTGAGTCGCGTCCTCAAAACGTCATTTCTTGCGTCCTCAGTGTTGTATGTAACGATTTTATTCATCAACTTATTAATTTTTCTATCATCATCGTTTTTTGGTTGGCTTAGATAAATCCGACCGTCGTCATCGTATTTTGAGTATGGCAACACTGGTATTTTGTTCTGGCGGTTGTTTTTCAGCAGTATTTGGTAGGTTTTTCGAAGCATCATGTTTTCGTCCATTTGATTTACATCGTGTTCGTGGTTATGCATTTGGAGCGGTTGTTCGTTTACACGTACGATGCTGTGCCCGCGATGTGTTTTTGCATGTGGCAACACGCCCTGCTGGGACTGGGTTACCAGTGCTAAAGAGACCACATGCTTATAAGAAAAGGATTTAATTAAATATCTCGTAAAAGTAACTTAAAAGATGAAAACTAGATGATTTCATAAATATAAAATAGTAAAACGATGAGTTACAGAATGTTTTAGCACTAAGAAAATACATATTTTTTCTCACCGGAAATTAAAATTGAAAACACAATCCGAACGTAAGCCATGTCGTCGATGCATCAAATCAAAAGCTCAAAAGGTCATAACTTCAGTTAATTGTTACTTACTTGAAATAGTTCCGTAGGTAAGAAAAATAAAATTAGTTGTAAATTTTTTTGAATTAATATTTTATTGTAGGGCTACTTATTTAGGCGAGTGAGCTTTACACGTGTGGTGGCTCGCTACTGTTTGTTTTTGAAAAGTTTTGATAGACATTACAATATACAATATCGTTATGTGCATGTACACGTACATACACACAAGTAAAGCTCACTCTCCTTCGTGAGTTGCAAGAACTGATACATTTTAGGACAGCCTCCTAGTAGTCTAGACCTACATTTCATTGTTTTTGAGGATTGCTGGAGAAACTCGCTTCTACCTTCAGTCTCATCGTCACTTTCCATCGACTTATCCGTTGTGGTTTAAAAAAATGTCACGACTTTATTAAAAGGTTTGGAATTGCTTATTTTTTAAGGTTTCAGAATTTCATTGCAGAATCTTGAAAATTAATTGATCAAATCTTAATTAATGTAATCGAATGCTCATAGATAAGGATTATAATACGAGTACTATACATTCACGTGCTATACTATGACGTAAGTAATGTACTCACTAGGCAATACGTAACAGCGAGCAATGACGTTCCAGTGGTTTGATGTTGCTTTACTTAAATCTATATTTATATAAGCGAAAGGTCACTGATTGACTGACTGACTGACTCACTCACTCATCACGAAATCTCAGGAACTACAAGTGCTAGGAGTCTCAAATTTTACATGGGGGTTCCTTTTAGAGCGTAGGTGCTCACTAAGACGGGATTTTGCAAAAGTCAACCCCTAAGAGGGTTAAACGGGACCCATGTGTGCAAAGTCATGGGCGGCCGCTAGTACTAGTCACAAAAAAAGACGAAGTAAAAGTTTCAATTCAATTAGTATACTCATCATCATCATTTCAGCCACAGGATGTCCACTGCTGACATAGGCCTCCCTCAATGATTTTTAGATTGGCCGGTTGGCAACGGCCTGCCTGCTACCTTTATAAGGTCGTCTGTCCACCCTGTGAGTGGACGTCCTACGCTGCACTTGCCGGTATTCCCCAAAGATAAAATAAAAGTCGTAAATAAAGAAATACATAATTTTATTTTGATGCTCATTCTATCTACATAATTACACTAAGGGCCGATTTTTCAATCGTCAGATATCTTTTATAGTTCCATAATACTGAACTGTCCTATCGATGACATTGACAGCGTGGCGCCACCGTCAATACCGAATCGCTGGTTCCGATTCTTGCCATGTTGGAAACCATAAAGTTGAACGATGGTAGCGCCCCCCTGTCATTGAGTTTGGCGGGACAGTTCAGCGTGGGTCATCTATATCTGAAGAATAAACTTGTCATTTTGACATATTTCTCATACTAAAACTGTCAATGTGCCAAACTTATTCTTCAGTTAAAAGTTATCCGATGATTGAATACAAATACAAATACAAATACAAAATCATTTATTGTGAATCATAGGTAAAATGGTGACATGTTACATTAGGTAGTATCACTATGTTCCGCTCAAAGAGCATACAATTTGTCAGACAATAATAAAATTTGGCAGTTACATAAACTAATTAGATTTATCGTCAAAGAATTCAGATATATTATAATAACATTTATTAATTAAATAAGTCAGTAAAGTTTTTTTAAATGAATTTAGATGTTCAATTAATCTAATGTCTAATGTCTGAAAAATCAGCCCTAAAACTATAATTATTAAAATTCTTTAAAGAATTTTAAACCATTTCTTTGTTCGGTATTATAGGTATTTATGTGGTCAATCTAATATACAAATTACAATACAAATATGTATTATACATACATACATTTATTTAATTTCTATGTGAAAACTGTATACAAACAATGTTACATCTATATCCCATATTAAAGTCGCTTCACGCGTCCTCGAATCGGTGGAAAACTTTATCGAATCGAATTAAAACGAATGTCATTAAGAGCCGATTTTTCAATCGTCAGATATCTTTTATCTGAAGAATAAACTTGTCATTTTGACATATTTTCCATACTGAAACTGTCAATGTGCCAAACTTATTCTCAAGTATAAAGTTATCCGACTATTGAAAAATCAGCCCTTAGTCTAATTTGGATATTTCGTCATTATAAACACAAAATCAATAATAATACAAAGTCACTGGGTGTGTCTAAAAACTAATGTTTTTTTTTTAAATTATGTAGCACCGAATTAACTATTTTTTATAAAATAAACTTTTTAACGTCAAAGATTACGTAACAATTTTATATAAATTCACATTAAATGTATTGTCCGATCGACAGATTAATTAATCGACAGTTTAATTTTACAGATTAGAAATATGACTTATATTTAATTTTAACAAAACAACCGCGAAAATTAAATTTTTGCAATAAAATTACATAAACTTTAAAAGGTCTGGGAATAAATTAACTAAAATCAAGCCTTACTTAAGGTGTAAAAAACAAAATCGTGTTTTTATTTGGATAGGGAACAATTGGAAGCCCTTTTTCTACAGCTGCCCTTAAATATAATATTGTGCTATTATTACAATTGATTTATTACTAAAACTATGTTTGGAAATGCATGAACTATAATGTAGGTAGGTACTTATTTATTTTTTACTATTTAAAAACATAAGTAGGTCAAGGGATCGACTTTTTTGAGACGGATTTGCGTCACAACACTGGACGTGTGTCATAAATGTCGGTTTTATTTCGATAGAGTATAATCTACCTAAAAACAATGCGTTAAATTGTAAGCATCATGTTCTGTACGGCTAGCACGAAAAACTTTCGAGTTCGAATCGTTTGCGTATTCGAATCGCCATCAAAATATTTAGTACGAAAACTACAACAGCGCCCATGTGAACGTGTCGTAAAGTGAACTTAGTATGAGAAATGGTTGCACGAAACTTATTTTGAGAATCAAAACTGTCACATTATCGTTTAATTTGAAGATTTAGTAGGTATCGAATTTTGTCAAATACGCAAACGATTCGAAGACGAAAGTTGTTCATGCTAGAGGTACTGTTCACAATATTTCGACATTTTACAAACTCGCAAGTTTAGATTGTAATCTAACGGTTTTTTACAATCTTACAGACCTTACAGTGCTATAAATAAGGCAACTTCACACCCATTAAATTATTAATTTTAAACTATTATTTATAAAATTGATCTATTGTGAAACAAATTCTGATACTAACTAAATAAAAACTCTTACGTCTAAATAAAACCTACTAACTTGAAAAGGGACAGTTCAAAAGGCATTTTTTACGTCATAAATATTTTTTCTATATGCCAATTAGTTTAAAACTATTTTGAACCGTCTCTTTTTCATATTAAACTAAATGTCGGTCAAATTATAACATTTTAGGCCTATAAAACTTTTTATCATTACGAATTATATTTTTTCAATTTGTAACTACGTAATTTTACGAAATTAAGCATTCTCATACAATATGGACTACTATTGGGGCTCTTCCCAAAGGCAACATCATTTTTTGCGGAATCAAAGTTAGTCAACTAACTAAAGCCTAGTCCGTGAGCACGTAGAATCCCGTCCAATGACCCCAAGCTGCCCATCCTTGTCGCTCGCACGTAATTATGTTGCTGTCGCGCTCGCACACTCACTACGGGCGCCCGTCGCACAGTCGCGACAGCAATATAATTACGCGTGAGCGATAAGGATGGGTAGCTTGGGGTCATTGGACGGGATTCTACGTGCTCACGGACCAGGCTTTAGCACTTAACTCAGACAGTGCCCGAGGTATGGGGGCGGCCCGGGAGGGGTGACATTGACATATGTCTTTCCAGAGCATACAAATCTGTAGTTTTGCTGACGTTAGATGTTCAATTACAATAATAAGCTCGCTTCCACCTTCGGCCTGATCATCACTTACCATCAGGTGAGATACAGGCCAAGAGCTTCCTCATAAATAAATAAATAAATAGTGGATAAAAAATACACCTTTGCATGCTCCCATACATCGGGTACTGACAGAGTTATGCACGAAAGCCCGGTCTGTGAGCACGTAGAATTTTGTCCAATGACCTCAAGCTACCCATCCTTTTCGCTCGCGCGTAATTATATTGCTGTCGCGACCTAGCGACGAGCGCCCGCAGTGAGTGTGCGAGCGCGACAGCAATATAATTACGCGCGAGCGATAAGGATGGGTAGCTTGGGGTCATTGGACAAAATTCTACGTGCTCACAGACCAGACTTTACCAATACCATTAGATGATTTAAAATTACAGGCCTGTATATCTATGGTCGGTCATCAACTCCTGGCGTCGTTGATTGTCTCTGGCACCTTCACCTCCAGTCCGTCCAAGTCTTTGGTCAGCTCAATCTGGCAACCGAGGCGAGACGTGTCTGTGAGACCGTAAGCTAGATCCAGCATGTCTCTTTCTTCGTCGGTAACTTCTTCTGGTAAACTGGAAAGTATTTATAATATCGTTAAAAATTATAGCATGATGTATGATAAGTGAAGGCTCAAGGCACAAATCACAGAAACTAAAGGGAGATGTGACAAGGGGGCGGGGCTGGTGTCGCAGCAATATGCCCAAAAACAGAACACATTGCTCGTGACAGCAATGATGACAGCAGCGACGTCATAATGTAAACAGTTTACATTGCTTGCGTAATATTAAAGATTATTCGAACGTTGAGTACTGATACCACAGTGGATAATGAGCACATATATTTTTGATTACATTGTGTGTGTGAATTTCTAATGCGACACTGAGTTTCGAACTCAGCGCATTAGTTGGCTCAAGGTCACCCAAAGGGCGATGGAGCGGGCTATGCTCGGAGTTTCCCTGCGTGATCGAATCAGAAATGAGGAGATCCGTTGGAGAACCAAGGTGACCGAAATAGCCCGCAGATCTGCTAAAATCAAGTGGCAGTGGGCGGGGCACATAGCTCGTAGAGACGATGGCTGTTGGGGCAGAAAAGTTCTCGAGTGGCGACCACGGGTCGGAAGACGTAGCATGGGCAGGCCTCCTACTATGTGGACCGACGATCTGGTGAAGGTCGCGGGAAGAACCTGGATGCGGGCAGCGCAGGACCGGTCATTGTGGAAATCCTTGGGGGAGGCCTTTGTACAGAAGTGAATTTGACTGAAACGAACGATAAGTAAATAAATAGTTCTGTAATGTTTAATCAATTTTTAGCTATAGATGACCCACGCTGAACTGTCCCACCAAACTCAATGACAGGGGGGGGCGCTACCATCGTTCAACTATATGGTTTCCAACATGGCAAATATCGGAACCAGCGATCCGGTATTGACAGTGGCGCCCCACTGTCAATGTCATGCATAGGACAGTTCAGTATTTTGGAACTATAGTAGTTTTTGCGTGAAAGAGTAACAAACATCCATCCATTTTTTATTTTAATTTCTTCTTTGAGTTTCGTAACTGCATGTCCTCAAACATCATCCAAAATTACGAAAATCTAAATTGTCAAAACTTTGAATACTGAATAATGCAGTATTTACAAAATACCCTTTATTTGAAGACAATAAGTGAGAAGCCACACGGTACGGTGCGGTTGCGGCGCGGCACCGGAACGGTGTCGCAGCGTCCTGCATATAAAAATCAATGATATGCCACACGGTGCGTTCCGGCGCCGCACCGCACGCACACCGCACTTCGATTGAGCGAGACGGTGCCGTATTGCGGCGCCGCACCGCACCGTGTGGCTTCTCCCTAAGGATACTTTTTGACTTAAATAATTCAGCTAACAGATCATAAATATTTGATTCAGTTATTTATAATTCAAAAGAAAGAATACCGTTTTAGTACGTCAGTTTATGAATTATGGATGGATGTGTGTTAGGAAATAATGGAAATGCGAGCTTTTGCAGGGCCGGAATAAATCTATTTTTTTTTTATTATTTCTACTTGCCTGAAAGTAGGCCTTTATAGCTTCTCTCTATATTAAAACTCATTTATTTATGCAAGTAGGCTTTTAAAAAGCACTTTAACACATCCCAGTATTAACCCTACCACTGCTTCAGGACAATAAATGGGCCAGTGCTGAGATGAAGCATTACACTAGGATGATGAAAAGAGGCAGCAATTTTTTTTTTTCTTTGTGCAGAACAAGGCATGTATTTGACTGCAATCGCACCTTATGTTAAGTAAAATACCTGCCCTGTAAGTGCCTATTCACTCTCTATTTGTAGTTTTTAACCTCCCTTTGGTCAGAGTAGAGGGAGTATAGGCCAAATCCTTAATTTGCCAGTAATTTAGAGGGTCGTGCTCCTGCAGACTAGACTGCAGGGCTAGCAGCATGGCCCACTGTGATAAAATCGTATTGATGTTTTTTTTGTGTTTTTCTGCAATCAGTGCCAGACTATAATCAGATTTTTTTTATGCATAACAAGGCAGGTATTTGACCACAATCACACCTGATGTTAAGTGGGATGCAGTCTAGGATGGTACATATATGTGATTTGTTGAGTGCAAGACCACAAAATGTATGAGCTAATAATGTAAAATCGATAAAATGGCGCGCGATAAAAGCTTATCGCTGCGCACATCCTAGCCCTATTGATGATGACACAAAATTCATTTACCTGTCATAGTCCTTCTGTTTTAATATAACGTGACAAGTAGAGCATGTCAATGTGCCTTCACAGGCACCAAAGCCTTCGATGTTCAGGTCGTTGTTAACAACCACGTCAAGTAGTGTGTCTCCGACTTTCCCTTCTGTGTCTATCCGTTTGCCATCGTGCAGGGTGAATGACACTTTGACCCTGTAAGAAAATATTTATTTAAGAAAGAAGTTACTACTGGGATGGTGAAGTAAATGAGGACCTGTGCAATTTCTACGATAAATGGTAAAAGATTACACAGCACAGACCGAAATGGGACTTACAACCATATTCACAAAGATTCTTTAAATGAAGAAGCAAATCGAACGCACAGCGTTGAATAGGGTTCTGTGAGATCTCATAGTAATGTTTCTAAATATGGGCGTTATTGTTAGATGCCAACTTTGGGTGGCTGTGTTAGCTTAGAAAGAAGTAGGGAGTCTAAATCTTCCTTGCTATGCTTTATGTCTGGTTTAGAGGCCTCCTTTAGTGAAAATTAAAATATGTTCTAATGATAATTATGATGAATAAGTTCTAAACTATCACTCTGGATTTATCTCATACTAGCTTTCCGCCCGCGGCTTCGCCCGTGTGGAATTTTGTCTGTCACAGAAAAACTTTATCGCGCGCGTCCCTGTTTCAAAAACCGGGATAAAAACTATTCTATGTTCTTTCCCGGGACTCAAACTATCTCTATGCCAAATTTCATCAAAATCGGTTGCGAGGTTTGAGCGGGAAAGCGTAACAGACAGACAGACAGACAGAGTTACTTTCGCATTTATAATATTAGTTGGGATAGTTGGGATTAGGGGTAGGTATCATGAGTAGAATCCTATTTTAAATGGATGCCAACGATTTCAGTCACCAAAATGTAAAATGTTACTGAAGAGAGAATAAATTACTTTTAAAGATTTATTTAAGCCTGAAATTGGTTAAAATCATACATTAACTGCTTAAAAGATCACCGCAATAAGTATCAACAGAATTCAATTCAATTCAATCAAAACCAACAACTTATACCTACTTATTAGCTGATAAAGTTTATTCAACTTTTTAAAGAACTGTTAATTGATAAAAATTGCACTTTCAGGCACACTTTTTTCATGCAATTTTATGAAGAAATTTAATAACGTTTAGAAAGTTGATAAAATGATAAGTCCTACAATTCCTTGAGATATTCTGCCACATAACCTACCTACCTTACGAAATGATGAAATAGCCGAAGTTCTACTCACTTCTCGTCTTTTAACGCCAGCCTGGTGGTCGACAGCGGAGCGATGTGTCGAAAATTGTTCAAACTAGTGCCTAAATGGTTATAATTCACTAAATAACTACGCGGACTAGATAGTGTTCTGAATATACTTCTGAACAACATTTTTGTGGCTTATAACAACTTATCTGCGACGACACCGCTCAAGGACTGAGCATAAGTGTTTATTTCGCGGACACAATGGCTAAATCACAATCTTTTATGATAATTATATCAATTTTATCTATTCTAAAACGACCCTGAATTCTGTCAATTTTTTTAGGTTAACACTAGTGATGAGTTCTTTTTTGTTTTTTTTTTTTTTTTTTTTTTTTTTNCTGTAGCTTCATGGCCGCCGCCCGCACTTTTAAAATTCAATATCTTGGAAACTAATTAACGTATCGAAATAATTCTTTCACGTGTATTTTTTATTTTTAACAGAGAATACAGAAAGCTAAAAAACAAAATTAGTGAACATTCTTCATTCCGCAAAGGTATGTAAAAATATTCTTTGTATACCGGAACGTATTCTTTGTCAAGTTCTGACGTTTGAAATTTGAATGACAATTCAAAATTTAGTCTGCGATGTGTCATGGAATTTCACATTTTGCTTGTTTTATCGGCTTAATTATTTAATTTTATTTATTAATCCCTCTAATCAAGTAGCCTTATTGCTTCTACTAGTGACCATAATGTCGGAGCGGTTAAAAAGTACGGAAAACGTGTCAAATGAGGATGTAATTGAGGACCTCACGAAGGATCTAAAAGATTCGCTAAATACTCGTGAAAATCTTGATGAATTCGTTATTAGCCCTGCTAATTCGAGTTCAAATGACTCGCCAGTTCATTTGGGAGAGCCTCACAAATCAGGTAGTTAACAATTTGAAATTAATAGACGTCAAAACTATTTTTAAAACTTCGTCCAAAATCTAGCATTTTCTTCAGACAATTAACACAAATTTATGGAACCCATTGTTTAAGCAACCTTCGGAAGTTCAATGTTCAATTATTGAGAACGATTCTGGCCCTTGCTTGTAAGATAACAATTAGAAACTTGTTCTACAAATTCAGAATCAAAAATGTTAGTAGTAAATGGTATTGTTATTATTTTTTCTCTGACTACGCCCATTCTGTCTCGAAAAATTAATATTGTTGCCTAGAAATATAAAAAAAAACTAAAATTTCTAGGCATAATTATCATTTACTACATTAATTATTGTATAATTTGTATTTACAATTTACAAAAACTGAATTGAATGTAAAAAAATATATCAATCAGCAATTCTGCAGACCTAAGAATGGTGCCCAATAGGCTGGGAGCATGATCTAATCATTGAAATACAGAAGAAAGAAAAATAGTTTATTTGATTCATCAGAATGTACAGCAAGAAAACTGTCAAAGTCGTTTAAATTAGATAAAAGCATTAAGTAACAAAAAAATGTGGCATTGAGTAACAGTGTTACTAATCAGTAATTTTTTTTACCAATGGGTAACACTGTTACACAAAATGGTGTGACTCAAGAGGAACAAACGGATGAAAGGGCACACAGATGGCTATGTCTTTTAATTAACAATGTAACAATATATTTTCAGACTTTACACCATACAGCGATCACATTCCACTAGACGATGACAAGATGGAAGACGTAGATGTTGAGAAAGACGGTGACGGAGACAAAGAGAGCGACACAGACTCGATAGACGAAGAAGAATTAAAAGACACAGAACTAGACTTAACGGATGACCAGAAGGAGGAAAGAAAGATTATTGCTGAAGATTTGAAGGTTGCGGGCAATAATGCGTTCAAAGACGGCGAGTTTGAGAGGAGTATAGAGAAATATACAGAAGGTAATACTCGATTTCTGGTTTGAAAATGTTTATTTTCCAAAAATCATTTTCTTTAAAATACTAAATTAATGTTATTGCTACATAAATGCAAATGATTAACTCTTGCCTAATTAAACACTAACCCCCTTACTAATAAAAAGTTACACAGTTGTTGAACACTGTTTTAAAATGACATTTCCAATTACTAAACGTCACTTTAAAACACTGTTCAACGAGTGTGTAAGTTTTATTAGTACCTAATTAATTTTACTCACATTTTATGAAAATGGCCAAAACTCTGCTAATGCTGTACAGTACACTGAAAGAAAGAAAGATGTTTATTTGGTAACCAAGACTAAAAATTTTTAGCACATGACTGAGTGTGAATGAGTTATGAGAAGGACATCTGAAGTTTCGTTGATGTCTTGACGTCACAAAAACAACTACCATACCATACTTCAGGCGCTGACTCAGTTAAGCGTTTACCTATAGTTGCACCCTGACGATAAAACTGCAATAATGCTACATCATCATCATCATCATCATTTCAGCCACAGGACGTCCACTGCTGAACATAGGCCTCCTCCAATGACTTCCACATCGCACGGTTGGTAGCGGCCTGCATCCAGCGCCTTCCTGCTACCTTTATCAGGTCGTCGGTCCATCTTGTAGGTGGACGTCCCACACTGCGTTTTCCGGTACGCGGCCTCCATTCCAGAACCTTGCTGCTCCATCGACCGTCAGTTCTGCGTAGTATGTGCCCTGCCCTGCCCATTGCCACTTCAGCTTGCTAATCTTTCATATAATAATGCTTGATATTTAATGCTTCAACCGCCTCTGTGGTCTAGTGGTAAGACCACCTGCTTCAGACGCAAAGGTCCCGGGTTCGATTCCCAGTGGGGGCGGATTTTTCTGTTCGGTTTGGTTCGTGGTAGGGCTTGTTCTAAGTCCGCCTGGCTAGCTACCACCATCTTACCTAAGTCTGTCGCCATAACAACAATGTTAAGAACATTGTTGTGTTCCGGCAGTTAGAGGTAAGATAGCCAGTTCCTTCGTGGTTGAGGATTCCGGGTGAAGCTCGATTCCACCTTCGGCCTGATCGTCACTTACCATCGTGAGATAAAGGCCAAGAGCTTCCTCGTTATGGATTAAAAAAAAATATTGCTTTTTTAACCATTCCAGGCCTAAAGACCTGTCCGCTGCAGTACCCACAGCAAAGAGCCATCCTGTACTGCAACCGGAGCGCTGCCAAAATGAAGCTTGAGAAGTACAAGCAAGCAATCAAAGACTGCAGCAAGGCTATCGAGCTGGACGATAAATATGTTAAGGCGTATATCAGGTTAGTCGACTAATTTAACAAAGGCTGGCTCTTATTTATGACCAACGATATACACTCGACAGCAAATAAATCGCACCACCCGCGACGCGAACTTTAAAGATTTTCTTTTGACACAATAATGGTGCCCCAACAACAATATTGGTGTTATTTGGAAGCCCAATAAATATCCTTAAAGAAAAACACATTTAATATCTTAATAAATGATTAACATATTATACCATAAATGTGACTTGAAAAAAGACCTCACTTTGGGCTCACCTCTGGGGCTCTGGGATCAATTAGACTAAATTTTATGGTAATAAAACCAAATAATGATCACACATGTCCTCTTTAACAGATGGATAGCGATTAATCCCAACTTAACAGTTTTATAGCCATAAAAGTTGGCTCAAGCGTAACTATCTATTTTTTGAAGAAGTGACTCTGGATCCTTCTAAAGAAACATTTTTGGGGTAAAAACCTTTCCTATAATGAAATGAAGTTTATAACTAGGCTTTTGAATGGTACCAATATTGGTGTGAAGTGGGGATGCATACGTTTGAAAGTGCTTGTCGCGGGTGGTGCGTTTTATTTGCTGTCGAGTGTAGTTTTTAGTGACGGAGGATTAAAATAAACACCTTAATTTAAAAAAATAGCACTACTATTTTGACCTATTTTTTGGTAAACCTATAGATCGTTTATCCACGAAGACGCGCACCACCAATTTTTGGTCTCGGTCGCGCGGGGTGCAGGGAGTTTGATCCGAGCAATCCGAGCGGCATTATTGTAGTGTGCGCGTGTACCGATGACACGGTTTTATCGGAAGAATGGTGGGGCGCGTCTTCGTGGATGAAACGGTTATTATAATTTTAAAGCGTTAAGAGTTGCATTTCAAATCTCAAACTAAATTATAAACAACTTGAATTAGGCAGTTCGATCGCCTACTTCGTTGCGACGCGCGAAAACAGCAATGATTTATGACGTTTTGTTAGTTTTTTGTGAGGGTCTTTAGAGTAGGCGCACACCGTTGATTTTTCGTCGACCGATAGTTGAGTGCGGAGTGCGCACACTACGCCGATTCGATTTGGCCGATTCTTCATACAATTTAAAATCGGGCACAACTATCGGCCAACTAAAAATCAACGGTGTGCGCCTACTCTTAGTGTTACGGAAAAGCCTTGCCACTTACTATATTATCATATTTATTTACAGACGGGCACAATCATATGAACACACAGAAAAGCTGGACGAAAGTCTAGCGGACTACAAGAAAATCCTTGAACTAGATCCTTCCCACAGCGAGGCACACCGAGCCACCATTCGTCTCCCACCGTTGATAGAAGAGAAAAATGAAAAACTCAAAGCAGAAATGCTCGGAAAGCTGAAAGACTTAGGCAATATGATTCTAAAGCCGTTCGGTCTGTCAACTGAGAACTTCCAACTCGAACAAGACCCGGAGTCTAAAGGATATAAAATTAATTTTAAGCAGTAAATAGTGTATATTATGTGATATTAAATGTGTATGGATATGTATTTTGGGTGTTTGATTTGTAATTGTAGTAATTAACAAAGGTTAAGTAGAGAGCTAGTTTGCGCGGCGTGATAAGATCTTATCGATTTTAGACGTCGTATAGGTTTATCGCATAAAATCGATAAAATGGCGCGATTAAAGCATAATATGGTGGCGAGCATCCTGAGGGCCTAGTGTGAGTTTTCAGCAAACGTGCTTATGAGCGCGTCAAAAAATTACATTAAATGTATGACGAATTGTACAGCGCCCCTAGCGGGAAACGTTCAAAAACTAAACTTTTCATACATTTTTAAACGCGCTCACTAGTGAACGCGTTTGATGTAAACTCACACAGCCCACTGGGCCTACAGGTTTCGTTTTTTAGAGAAACACAACTTATACAATGTTGACTGTGGGTCTGAGTTTAAAAAAGTCCTAAACAATTTTATTTAAAAAATTTCGAAATTGAAACCGACCCCAAAAAAAGTTTTTCACTTTTTCGATAAATCGAAATACGCGGACTATGTCACGGGGCAGAAGCTAGTCTAAAAGTAAAACTATAGACAATATTAAAATACTCCTTTGATTAGTAAAAAACTCTTCTTTCACACGTCTGACAGACACAGAAGAAGAAATTTCTTTCAAAATTAGAATTTCAATGGACGTTTGGTGAAATAATTTTTAATGTGACGCTGTATTTTTTTTGTAATATTTTTTATAAATATCATTTACTATCATGAAACTCTACATTTACAGCATTAGTTCGATGAAATTATAGTGTTTTATTCAAAGGTAAGTGATATTTGACTATCTTACGAAACTACACTTACGAGATTCCATAATTTAGATGTCTGTAGGTAGTAGCGCGTAGCGCGACTCCAGCACTGTACTAGCGCGACTGTAGCGTTTGTTTTGTGACATTCCTCTCTTAAAACTCGGTTACGCGATAGATTCTGGCAAAGAAACGAAGCACAGAAGTGAGAATAGCGCAACTGTTTTTAATGATACTGTTCTCGAAACTCGATAACACGAATATTCTGTCAAAGAAACTGGTGCTACTCTGATTTATTAGTAGCGCGTCTGTAGCGCAGCTATTTTCAGATGAAGTTTAATTCTGCCACAGGTCTGTAGTAGGTAGGCCTTAATGGCAGGTCTTTATAATACATGTTACATACCTAACTTGAAATAATTCATTTTTCAGGCAGAAAATGGCAAAATGTCGTCGAAGACGAAAGTAAGTTTCTGATAATTCTAAATAGTAAACCTACATAAGTAAAATTAACAGAAAAGTTATACCTAGTAGGTACCTATCTACTCTTTCTAATAAAATCTATTTTTTTCCAGAATGTGCAAAACGTAAGTCATGGTCAAGTTAATTAAAGTAATAAATTACTTTATCAATAATGTAAAGGTGAGTTAACAAGTTACACAGTTTTGAGACCCGAAAAGGCCGGAGTGAAGCAATTTAGGAATTACAACCGGCACTTTTGTAACTTTCTTTCTTAAGCCAACGCTTGTCCTAACGTTACGCGTTAGGAATAACTAGAATTATATTAATTAATCTGTGTTTGGGGCCAATACTATTTTCTAGCTCCACACGTTGGACGAGTAGGGTTGGGACTTATGTGTAAATCCGAAAACGTCAACATGTTAGCGCCTCACGAAATTCAACGTCTGGCGCTGTTACTCATATTTTGTTTTCCTGCAGCCGCTGCCGCAGCAGGAGCGGTAGGTTCAAGCGCTGCCGCTCGGGCGACCGGCGCTACCCGGTGCGGCAGCGCTGCTGTCGCGCGCGGCGCAGCTGCGGCCGCCGCAAGAGGCGCCGCTCCGGCTGTAGAAGGCGACGCGGACGGTGAGTGAGCCCTATTCCTTCAGAAGATGTCCACAGCTGCAGTGCTAGAAGAACCTTAGTTTTCAGTCAGAATACGACCACTCATAGTCAAATCCTCATAAGACTCCCGAAGGATTTCCGCAATGAACAGTCCAACGCTTCCCAAATCTAGACGCTTCCTTTGATCTTCAACAAAACATCACTCCACCTAGTGAGAAGTCTGATTTCACTCCGATTATTTCTTGGTAAGTATAGTGGTTGCTGCTGCAGCAAGATCTAGCTCAAGCAGGGCCGACCGACCGAACTTCAGAACGACCGATACCGATACTCAGCTTTTGGTGTTAGGAGAAAACGTAGGTTTGACTTTTCCTGCTGATGGTGGTGTAGGAAGCTGCAAGAGACTCTGACAGTCACAGGCGGCGTGGGTGTTAAGAGAACGCCTTCTAGACTGTTTCTAGAATGTTCCTGGTAAGTGTTCAAGCGCTGCCGCTCGGGCGACCGGCGCTACCCGGTGCGGCAGCGCTGCTGTCGCGCGCGGCGCAGCTGCGGCCGCCGCAAGAGGCGCCGCTCCGGCTGTCGGAGGCGACGCGGACGGTGAGCGAGCCCTAGACTCTAAGCTGGACTAATTTTATTAGCCAAAAGACCGAGTACGCTGCAACCGTGGCGTTTGGTGATGCTATCACAGACGACTGTGGCTGTCGCAGACGACGCGGGCGGTGAGTGGGAGCCCGAGGCTCTGAACTGTTCCTGGTAGGACTATTCAAGCGGTTGGTGGCCACCGCAAATCATTGGCGCCTTCTAGTATGTTCCCCCTTCCTCCTACTCAGCTGGAGCTGCTGTAGCTGTAGATCCTGGCTACACAGGAGTTGCAGTGGTGGAAACGAGAGGTGGGAATAGTCCCGTTCCTCCTACTCAGCAAGGAGACCGACGCCAATACATCCAGGAGGTACCCACAACTGTGGCGAGTGGTAATATATCATGCGCGCTGAGAGAGCGCCTTAAAGATTGTTCCTGTTATGCCCGTTTTCACCATCAATCTCTAATTTTTAAGTAACCCCTATGAAAACAAAATTCCTGTTATGTGTTATCATAGGGGTCACTTAAAATTAGGGATTGATGGTGAAAGCATTAGTGTAGCATTTCCTTCCGTAGTGTAGGAGTCACAGACCACACTTGTGTGTTAGTGTAGCTAGTATTTCCTGCCACGGCAGGACGTAGATAGTTAGGCGTAGCTCTAATGGTGCGTCCACGCTGGTCATCCTGCTCACCCTGTTCATGAGTGAGCAGGATGTCGAGTTTGCCGCGCGAGCCCGCGTTCGCCCACTGTGGACGCACCATAACTATCGTAAGCAGTGTGGGTGGTAAAAGAGTGTCCTATAAACTAGACTGTTCCTAGAGTGTTTACTGCAAGCAGGAGTAGGTCGCGTAGTCGGTCTCGTAAATTAACGTTGCTCCTTTTCCCCGCAGCTACATGTGGCGCTGCCGGTCCAGATCGGGATCGTTCAAACGCTGCCGCCGCTGCGACCGCCGGTACAAGATACGCCGCCGCCGGTCCAGGTCACGGTCTTGACCGGTGAGTGTACGTTTCAGCCAAATTACGTCCACTGCTGGACAAAGGCCTCCTCCAAGAGTTCCCACAACGACTGGTCCTGCGCTACCCGCATCCTACTTCCCGTGACCTTCCATAAACTACGTTTTCTGGCTCGTGGTCGCCATTCGAGAACTTTTCTGCCCCAGCGGCCATTAGCACTACGAGCCCACTAGCACTATGTGCCCCGCCCACTGCCACATAAATATAAATAAATAATAGTTTTGCTTACTTTTTTGGTAGAAAATCTTCAGGCGATTATAAATCGGATAAAATCGAGTTCCTTCCCGAGAATAATCACAGAAAAAATCGTCTTACAATTATTATTTTTTATTTCAGGTGCGGACAGACGAAATGTGTGATAAATTATTTGTAAAATTATCAATCAGTAAACATACAAACAAATATGACTGGTATTATTTATAGATAGAATACTCTTTATTACATACACACAAAATGCACAAAACAGGCGGTCTTATCGCTAGGAAGCGATCTCTTCCAGACAACCCAGACTTAAAATATTTATTTTATAATTCATATTTTAAAATGCAAAAAAAAAAACACTTCTAAAAATGGCGCACAAAGTATTGGTTAACCTACGCCTATTTTTCAGGCATTTTCAATAATTTGTAGCTTTTTCCATATATTTTCTGGGCATCTAACAGCTGTTCATATTTTCTCTCGTTCTCCAAGATGGTGGTCAACTCCATGATTTGTTTTGCTTCATATGGAACAAAGGTTTCCACACTCTGAAAGAAATTAAAAACATCGATTTATCACTTTAGTGTGTTGTTGAAACTAATCGATTGTGTCATTTTGAAATTTTATATCGATACCAGCAGAAAGCCGGGCTAAGTTGCGCGTGATAAAATCTCTCATTTGATTTTGGACGACAACCGTATCGTATCACACGTTAACGAATTAAATCGATAAAACAGCGAAAGCGAAATCGGTAAAGCTGCTAGTCCTCGTCCTCCTGATGGGGATTTTAAAAGTAACAAGCATGCATCATGTCATGCATATAGGTGAAGTTTTCTGTCTGAAAGTAGGCAAACTTGCCTTAACATGCTCATGCTTCCGTGGTCTCCTTCCGAACAGCCCGAAGACCCTCTCCATCACAAAGTAGAACATCTCCACGAAGCTGATGAAACTGGCCCCCAAGAACAGGCCTGCTGCTCCTCCGAATGACACTGGAAAATATTAAAATAGAACTGCGCTTGCGCTTAGGTATGTATTGGGTGTTGTTGACCCTTGCATCCTTTACACTGACCACCTCGAAGATTTCTTTCTCCGCAAGAAAGACGAGGAAGAAAAATTATTTCATCATTCTCAAGAAAGAATTAGTTCATCTTTTAATAATAGATACACATTACACAAAGACTCTTGTTTACCGTTAAGCGTCAGCAGAACCCCAAAGCCAACTGGTCTAAGTATTTGAAGAGAAAATACCAAAACGCAGACCTAAAACTACTTTTTGCTGGTGCCATGGGCATGGGCAAATGAAAACTTACATGTTGCAATATTTTTGTCAGTAAAAATTTTCGAATTTGAAGAAAGCTGGCAGTCATTGGACGATTTTATCAGATTCAGATCTATTGATCTGAAGATCGTGATCTTTGGAAAATATTTTACGTCCAGTTATAACCAGCTGAATTGACGAAGACTAGCTTCAAAGACTTACCCACAAGATCCTGGAAGTAGAAGACGATCTCCCTGGTGTACCGGGTGCGCGGTGGCTGGATGGTGAAGCGGACAGTGCCCCGGGTCGAGAACGGGCCTTTACCCCTGGAAAAGGGAGGTTGCATCCTTATCATCAAGGCATTTAGATTCCACTGCAGGAGCAGGAGCATCTCTATTTACCAGAGGCATGGACTTGTAACAAACTACGCGAAAATACTCTCACCTCTGGATAGGCCAGCGATTCGTCTGGGCAGCGTGGGGATTGTAGAGCAAATCATCCGTTTGCTTCTGGTAAATTAGAGGAGGCCATGCATGATCCTGCAGTGCTAAATGATCTGATGATGATGATGATGATGATAATAGTTCAGATGCTTATTCCATTGTATCTCTGTCCATCAGTAGCTATCGTCTCTTCTCGAATACCAGTCATTTATGAAAACCGTTCTTTATCTACACCTACCCCTCCCCTGTAAATAAGCTCCTCTACATAATTACTACCTTGTTTCTTCCCAAGGGCCTTAGCCCCCCTTCCAATGGTCTTGGCGGTTTGCTTGTTGTTGCGTTTTCCTTGGAGGTTCCAATCCAGAGCCTGCTTGGGGGTGTAATCGGGACCTAAGTATAGTGCTGGGCGTGGGACGACAGGCAGTGCATGCCTGCTGGGGTGCAGGTCGGGCCTTTACCCCTAACGCCCGTATTCACAAACATTACTATGAGGTCTCACAGTGCACTTGGACGCACAGGGTGACACACGAACCAATCACAGAGCTCTCAAGCATCGTAATACGGGCGTAAGGCTGACATCTATACATCGCGATAACCCAAATGGTGTAGCCATGTATTCGCGTATACTTGGTGCTTTTTTAACAGAGTTCATTGCATAGTAGCAACACACTACAACATTCAGGCTACAGTGGATTGAAGTCTTGTAACTATGCTAAAGAGCCTTGGCTACTTGACTTAAGATCCTATGTCCCCTAGATGGGGCAGAGGGCGTCCACAAAAGTCCTCCATCGCATCCGGTCTTGAGTTTCGCGTTTAATCTCGCTCCAGCTCTTGCCGATTTTCTTCGCCAGTGCGCTGCCAAGTTTGCTTGGGGCAACCACGTTTGCGTTTTCCTTGGAGGTTCCAATCCAGAGCCTGCTTGGGGTGTGATCGGGACCTAAATGACTACTAACCATATCTCCTCGTTGCTGGCGATCTCCCGGAAGGTGGCGTCGAGGCACTGCGGGCTGCAGCTGCATTTCTGACCGCCGTTCACCTTCAGCTGCTGGGCGTGGGACGACAGGCAGTGCATACCGGCGGGGGTGCAGATCGGGCCTTCTGTTAGAAACATTGGCACAGTTGCAGAAAGGGATCAACATCATAAGTGCCACTTGTGGTCTAAACTGAATGAATATTTTTGATTTTGATTTTAAACACCACCGTAAAGTCATTCGCGCGCTGTCAACCGCGAGGCGAGGCGTTTACGTAATGGTACGGATATTGATATGGCCGCTTTATGGCCCTTCCGACCGACCATCCGTTCTATGACTATGCCATCCGAAGCTCTTTGCTCTTGGTAAATTCATTGCTAACCCTCTGCTGCCACCTTATAGTTACGCCACGGATTGTAGAGATGACGGCACGTCAACGTAACCACTGTGGGCTCTTGTGCAGTTGTAATAGGGGCGAGTTTGCAACAAAAATGGGTAGCCTGATGAGCTGTCGTTTGTACCTATAGCACAAACTACAAAACGCCTAGCTGTTGCAGCAAGGTTTAAGCGCATTAGGGCAAAGTAATTCTCAATCGATGTCGAGGCAATCGAACAATGAACTACGGAATATAAAACTTTATTGCATTCAATCAAGTCAATAACAAGGTTCAAAAGGCGAATTTAAATGCCATATCGTGAATTTTACTGCAGGAGATTATTCGAAAAAAAAGTATTGTCAAAAAAACCAAGTCTCGCAACTCAGTTGTTCTACGGTAAAAAGTTGTGAGATCCATGTAATACCAAGTCCAGGCCAGGAAATCTTTAACGTTTTACATAAATATATTGACTTGGCCATCGCACTAAATAATTTAATTTACACGTGTTTTCATGCGATGGCCAAGTCAATATATTTATGTAAAACGTTAAAGATTTCCTGGCCTGGACTTGGTATTACATGGATCTCACAACTTTTTACCGTAGAACAACTGAGTTGCGAGACTTGGTTTTTTTGACAATACTTTTTTTTCGAATAATCTCCTGCAGTAAAATTCACGATATGGCATTTAAATTCGCCTTTTGAACCTTGTTATTGACTTGATTGAATGCAATAAAGTTTTATATTCCGTAGTTCATTGTTCGATTGCCTCGACATCGATTGAGAATTACTTTGCCCTAATGCGCTTAAACCNCTTTTTTGCTCGACTTGGTGGGGGCACTGCCGTGCCCCCAGATGCGGTCTTTCTTCATCAAATGGCAAATGTTAAATCCGTTAAAAATGATACGCACTGTTAGAATTTAATTGCTGATATTATTATGACATTCTCCAGTCAACATTTTCAGATTCTTTTTTCATTCAGTATAGGTTACCTTGATGAATGTAGTAAAAAGGCTTGCAGCCACACAGCTTGATAGCCAGACGGCTCCTGCAGGCCAGGCGGCAGGTGTTGGTACTGTACACCTGGAAATATATCATCAGGTCACTTAGTCTTAAGCTTAGCCTTATTTGTTGGCCGTTTGGTGTAGTGGTTCGAAACGGACTACTATTCCGGAGGTAGCGGGTTCGATTCCCGCACAGTACAAACATTTATGTGCATGAACATATTTGTTTGTATTGGACTGGGTGTTTTCTATTAAGTATGTACTTATTTACAAAAAAAAGTATTTAAGTATGTTTATATCCGTTGTCTAGAACCCATAATAGTACAAGCTTTGCTTAGTTTGGGACTAGAAGCGCAGTGTAAAATGTCCAAGGATATTTATTTATTATTTAATTAAATAAGTTAAGTACGCGGATGCTAAGCTAAAAATACAATTGGTACACACTAATTGCTTTTATTATAAGTCGGTTAAAATAACTTCACGTCACGTCACAGAAATATCTTACATTCTGTTGTAACTGATTCATAATTTCGTCGCACCACCCAACATCCGATATGGTCTAGTGGCTAGGATACCTGGCTCTCACCCAGGAGGCTCGGGTTCGATTCCCGGTATCGGAAGAAACTTTTTATATTTTAGTTAAAAAATCTTTTTGTTTTTATTTAATTTTTTGAAGAACATAAATACATAATAAAACTATTTATTCGTCAAAGGCATTTAAGTTTTTTACTTTCAACTGTATCTTTTATATTATTTTATTGTAATCTACATAAAATAAGAACATACGCGTTCCAAATGTTAATCATTTATATTTTCCATATTTTTTTTATTTATTTACTACTTTTAATTTATGTATACTAGGTACTTTACTACTTTTAGCTACACGCTACACCCGCGACTTCTGGGTGTGTTACCTGAAATTATCTCTTCTGTTCAATTTCCTTAATTTGTCAAGGCGCAGCGGTTGGATATTTTTAATTAAAGTAACTAAATTAGCTGCACCCGCGACTTCTACGTGTAGATAATTTTCCTGAAAATCCTGAAATTATCCTTATTCTTTACAATTGTCATTTGTTTGCGGAAATGTGAAAGTTTTTAAGGATGGACAGATAGATGATGGACGGACGAATGGATAGAATGTTGTCCAAACCTTGTCTCGTTGGTGAGGAGGCTCGTCGGTGAACCGGCAGCCACGCCGGGCCGGCTTCAACGGGCGGACCTAGGTATTGAAAAATCTAATATTTCAGAAAAATTAAATAACTTTTTTAAAATGGTATTCTTTTAGATACTTACGCCCGTATTCACAAACATTACTAATAAGGTCAAACAGTGCGCGTGAACGCACAGGGTCACACATGAACCAATCAGAGCTCTATTGGACGCTGTGCGTTCAATTTGGTGCTTCATCGTTTGTGAATACGGGTGTCAATGAAGGCTTTTATAGTACTTGCCCTCACTAGTTTGTACCACTGTAGTGTGACTGTGTGAGGTCCTGTCACTCCATAATGATCGTTTCCCTTCTGTCCCATAAAAAAAACATAAGTAGAAGAGGTTAAGACAGTAGGTAGTACCAACTGGTAAGCGCTGAAGCGGTGTATAGGACTATCGCATGTGCGGTCCTGTCACTCGCAAGTGGTGCCAAATGACAAAAAACTATAGCCCTCATTACGCTTTGGATTATATAAAACTCCTAAACTCATTTTATTTTTGGAAGTAGGGTTTTAAAAACACCTTTAAACGTCCCAGTATTAACCCTACCACTGCTTCGGGACAATAAATGGGCGACTGAGAAGAAGCAGTGTAATAAACTCGACTTCATTCAATAATTTCTGTAAGAATCTTAAGAATGCTTTATTCAGCTAAAATAAATAAATAAATTCCTATTACCCCCTGTCCACAGTGCGTCTCCATGACGCTAAGTTCACTCTGCCGGTTTAGGGACGCGAACATGGTAGCCTTCATCTGGGTGATGTCCGACACGTCGTACGGAGAGTGCACGTAGAACTGGAAATAAATAAATAAATTATATTAACTTGGAAAAATCGAATTGCCAAAGGGGGAATCGAACCCACGACCTATCGCTTCCCGGGCGACTACTCTCTCACTTGAGATGCGATATTAATCTTTAAAAAATTACTAAAAGAAAATAAATTCTGAAATGAAATAAAGCGACTAGGTATGCAGCGATGGTGACCCGTAGCACAGGTTTCTGTCTTGAAACATACTTATTTCAGGCACCAGTCCCTCGCACTTTAGGTTAGAAATCCTTGGCTAAATTTCTATTGTACCTTGTACCTATTATTGTGAAGCGTAATAATAAATATTTAAGGCACAACTTCTTTGAAACTTCTTTCAGCTACTAACTTACATCAGCTTCCTTATCCAACTCCATGATGACGAAGCAGCTGAAAGAGGAGTACTTGCAGGTGATCGGGAAATTCTTCGTATCATTTGCATTGAGTTTGCTGAAACAATAATAATTTCTTGAAATATATTCCTATCACTAGCTAAAAAATGTGAAAGTTTGGATGGATGGATTTTTGTAACTCTCAATTTTATTGAATAGATTTTGATGAGATTTATAGCCTTAGGGAAAACATAGCTTAAGAACTGAACTAAAGTAGGTATAGAAAATCACGCGGGTGAAGTAAGTCACCCAGCCTCCTTGAGCAAAAGTTAAAAGGTAGATAAAATAAGTTTACATTAATTAAATCTTTTATTTCGTGGTACCAGTGGTACCTTGTTAGTACCTAGCCTACAACTGAGCATGTGTTTTAATTAACTACCAAATTACCTAGGAATTATAAAAGCTTTGTGTCAAATCACCGTGTGGTTACCGCAAAGTAGGATAAGATCACTCACCCTTCTCGAGTAAAGGCGATTAATGCCCGTTTTCACCATCAATCCCTAATTTTTACGTGTCCCCTATGCAAACAAAATTCCTGTTATTTGTTACCATAGGGATCACTTAAAAATTAGGGGTTGATGGTGAAAACAGGCATAAGACTTTTAAGATATAGATTAAGTAACTTGCCTCCCCTACCCGTCTAGCCAGCTTGGGGCGTGTAGGCAAATCCTCCATTTGCCTCTGGCACTAGACAAGGTGGTGGTGGTGCACCTGCAGTTTCGAATGACGAATCGAAAATCGAATCCGTTGGAACTCCGTACAAAAAAAGTCTTTCGACCATCTTTCGTCATTGTCACTGTCACTTTTTGCCACTTACCTACGTCTAGGGGGGCTGATGATAATGTATCAATCATCTTACATAGTGGCCACGTCATTGACTGCGATGGAGTTGGTGGCGTAGCAGGCACCAGCTTCTGTAATGACCGGGATCCATTTTGTAGGGCTGCTCTGGGACCAGGTCGTCTTCACTTGGGGGTCCGGTTGAACCTGAACAGATGTTAAGAGGTTAAAAACTAAGGGTTGTTAAGTCTGTGACAATATAAGGGTCTGCTGGCAGAACCTTTGAAGAGATGTTAAAAAATTAAAGGGATTCTTTCAAGGTAATCTTCGAATTATGGGACAAATAAGTCTTTTAAAACAGTAAACTTTTAAGAGAACGAAAAATCAGTTTTTAAATAATTACATGGGACACTATTTAGATAGGTAATTAAAAAATAAGGCCTAACTACAAGGAACATTAGAAAACATACTAGGATATAAATTAGTCATCTTCAATTCTGTTCAATCATAGAATAACCAATGATTACCACATTGGTGGTTTGGGGTCCCGTTGGCATCATTTTGGCCTGTCCCTGTACCCAGGTCTAAGGACTCCGAAAATTAAATAATGTTTACATTTTAGGTCTATCTGTCACCGTCGCTCATGCTGCTACCTCGCTTTATATAAGAGGGATGGCAACATTCGAAACTTTGGATAATTTTCAGTTTCCCCGCTGTAACCCGTGTAAGTGTCATACTTCTAAGGGTCCTACGAACGAACTTACATCAATCACCAGCTGGTACAGGTCCACATTCAAGGTCTCATCGTCCTTGAACTCCTCGTAGCCCTCCAGGTGGAACAGGTCCGAGTTGGCGACATTAGAGACGAACTTTGCATAGTAAGGGTACTTCGGATCTGACGGGTCTACGTGCCAACGCTCTGCTATGGCTGAAGGTAGTTTGGAGGGGTTCACTCTGTTCTGCAGGATAGAAAGCGAAAAGAAGTAGGTAAGGCAATTTAGATAATGTCTAGTCACCGAGCACGTAGAATTTTGTCCAATGACCCCAAGCTACCTATCCTTATCGCTCGCGCGTAATTTTATTATATTTCTGTCGCGCTCGCACACTCACTGCTGGCGCCCGTCTCACAGTCGCGACAGTAATATTTACGCGCGAGCGATATGGATAGGTAGCTTGGGGTTATTGGACAAAATTCTACGTGCTCGGCGACCAGACTTTAGTTGAACTTTACTGGACAGTTACCAAATAGGTCTACCGCTTAACTCAGACAGTGCCTGAGTTATGGAAGCGGCACGGGAGGGTGTTTTTGCGACGGTCAGACGTCAACGAGACTGTCTCCCGTGTCGTTTCTTATCTCTGGTACTGGCTGAATTTATAAGCCTAACAAGCAAAGTAAAACTAAATAAGACAGAAGAACTAAATAAAGCAAGTTTAATCGGGATATTATAAAAATGTCATGTGTGCAGCCCCCCCTGGATGTCGCTTTGAAGGAAGTAAGTCAAACTAACTGACCTAAAAAATCAGACCAGAATCTTCTACTTAGACCAGAAGCTGGGTACGTACGCCCATGCTCATAGGTTTTCCGATACCGACAGAAACAGCAAGCCAGGGATGTTAAGGCTATCCGTAACCGTAACTGAAACTTTTGGATAGTTTGGATAGTTTCGGATGTAGGCATTTTAAATAGTTTTTTGTATAGCATTATATGTAAAGGCATAAAATTCTGATTTACTTTATAATGCCATTTAGTATAAATTTTTATTTTTTAGGGTTCCGTACCTCAAAAGGAAAAAACGGAACCCGTATAGGATCACTTTGTTGTCCGTCTGTCCGTCCGTCTGTCAAGACCCTTTTTCTCAGGAACGCGTGGAGGTATGAAGCTGAAATTTATATCAATTACTCAGGTCTACTGTCCCTTGAAGCTGTGAAAAAATCAAACTTCTAAGCCAACGCAATCAAAAGATACAGCCGTTTATGCCGCAAATTTTCGACACTTGCAAGGGAATCAAAACCTACAGGGTGCTTCCCGTGAACTCAGAATCTTGAAATTTGGTACGAAGCAACGTCTTATAGCATAGATAAAGGAAAAATTACGAAAACCATAAATTTTTAGTTACATCACATAATATTTTTTTTTAAATAATTTTAAACTTACTACCCATTTCTTCATAAACGCGTAGAGGTATTAAATTGAAATTCATACCAAATACTCAGGTCTATAATACCTTTAAGCTGTAACAAAATCAAACTTCTATGTCAACGCAATCAAAAGAAACTAAACATGTCAGTCAATTTGACAACCTTTGTCGGAAACATTATTCAATGAAAATATTGTCCGAACCCTTAGTATTTCTCTTCGACAAATACATTAACACATCGTGAACCACTTTTCTTTCACGACTATAAAAATATTTTAGCAATTTAATTCACAAAATCAATTGCACACTTTAAAATAAAGTTTGTTTACACTTTGACAACAATAGACTGACATGCAAGGTGACATGTCAATGAAGTTTTCAGTTACTGTTGCCATTAAAAGAAATTAATACCATTAGTTTTCCGCAACATGGCGAGGGTTTTTATGTTCCTGGTCAGGCTATAAAGTGTGCGGCCATTAATGAACCGTGTTGGACAACTATTGCAAATTGTATTCTAAAGCATAGATATCCGTAACCGTAACCGAAATTTTCGGATATCCGAAATAAAAAAATATCCGTAACCGAAACCGGTATAATATTATTCCTATATCCGTAACCCTATCCATAACAGAAACTACATATCCGTAACATCCCTAGCAAGAACTTACAGTCATTCTTCATGTCCCTTACCCTATCGCACGTAGTGACTCCAGGCAGGCTGTACCGCCAAGTCCTGAAGTCCTTCTCCAGGGTGATGACTGTAGGATTCTCGTTGTAGCGCTGCAGCTGTCCAAGGGACACGCTCACGGCGCCCCAGATGGCTGCCGAGGTGATGACCAGCCAGAGGAGTCTGAAGAGTAAGTTAGAATTAATATGTTTGAACCAAAATAAACAATTTTTCTTTCTTTCTTTCATACAGGGTGGATAAGATATCGTAAAACTAGTTACTGATCCTGAAAGTGCTTCACAAGCTCTATCAAACGGTATACATACTAGGTTACAGGATAAACTGGATCTAGCTAAAAATTTCATGTTTCCAGTTCACCTCTCTGTCCAATGGCGATTAGGTACAGCAATATGGTTGAATCCATGGATGCTGGTCTCCAAGCAGAAGTCTCGACCACACCTGTAACAAAACACTAACCATCAGCTCCTCAGGGTAGACAAGAGGTCGGTGAATAACTATGGAAATTAGCAATTTGGGAATACTCATGCTAATGTTAACTCAGTGGTGACTGAGTTTGTTGCGGCGCCGCTTCTTCTCAGCACTTCCCAAATGTTGGTCTCGAAGCGCCGGTAGGGTAAAAAGATTATGAGACATGTAGAGGCTCCTTAAGAGCAAAATGACGATTTGTAAGAACTATATTAGTTAGTCTAAACAAATAAAGAAATTTTGACTTTGACTTTGACTTAAAATTATGTAGGAAATTTTTCACTTTATAATAATGTAGGTTACTGCATTGTTGGATGTTGGTGATTGTGAAAACGCAAATGCGAAAACTATGTGTCTAGCTAGAACCAGTTAGATGAAATGGGTTACCTACGCCATATCGAATGACAAATGATCGAAAATCAAAATATCGAATACGTTTCATCGAACGATCAAAATATCGAACGATCAAAATATCGAATGCTCAAAATATCGAACGTTCAGAATATCGAACGTTCAGAATATCGAACGATCAAAATATCGAACGATCAAAATATCGAAAGTCGATATAGACGTTTTTATTTTTCATCTACCTTCCTCGGCTCCTTGCTGAAGCGTTGTTATTGCCGTACTGCTACAATTAAATTTATATTTTTGTGTACAATACCAATATAATGTTTCATCGACATTTTTGTTCATTGCCATTACAAAGCCCTCCAAAATGAGGACTGTTTTTCTTAACTGGAAAAACAAAACTGTACGACCAAACACAACCATGCACCGGAGCCGAGCAAGGTAGATGAATTAAATAAAAACGTCTATATCGACTTTCGATATTTTGATCATTCGATATTTTGATCGTTCGATATTTTGATCATTCGATATTCTGAACGTTCGATATTTTGAGCATTCGATATTTTGATTGTTCGATATTTTGATCGTTCGATGAAACGTATTCGATATTTTGATTTTCGATCATTTGTCATTCGATATGGCGTAGGTAACAATAGTTTTTAACAAACTCTACCACTATCAAATGTGGTCCCACTGGGAATCGAACCCGGGACCTTTCGGTCTGAGGTGGTCTAGCCGGGCTTTAAAAAAAAATCAAACCTGAACATTGATTTCTCTGCCGCTCTCCTGATCCGCTGCCATTTTGATGGGGACCCTTGATAGTATCTCGATGGGTATTTAGAATACATGGATATGTTTATACCAGCATTATTTCCCCACTGTGAAAAGAACTAACGCCCGTATTCGCTTGCAAATTGGTACGTGTGTCACCCTGTGCGTCCACGCGCACTGTGGGACCTCATAGTAGCTAATGTTTTTGAATACGGGCGTTAGTTAATAGGTTTTAAAATTAATTATTACCGCTTGTAAAAGTTCGTGACCCAAGTAACGTTATCTGATCATTTAAAATTTTAGACATAACAATTCCATTTTCATTTCGTGCATGCATTATTTTAAACTAGCTTTCCGCCCGCGGCTTCGCCCACGTAGAATTTTGTCTGTCATAGAAAAACTTTATCGCGCGCGTCCCTGTTTCAAAAACCGGGATAAAAACTATCCTATGTCCTTTCCCGGGACTCAAACTATCTCTGTGCCAAATTTCATTCAAATCGGTTTAGTGGTTTTGGCGTGAAAGAGAGACAGACAGAGTTACTTTCGCGTTTATAATATTAGTTTAGATTATAATTATTTTAAAGCCATGACATAAAGTTATCACATTGTGTCACGCGACTATCATTGAAGATAAAATTTAATTTTTGCTGAAAATTAAATTTTTTCTTTTGCACCGTTATCAGGTCATTTAGCCTCCATTGCAGTAGCACGATCTTTTTTAATGTCATCATCATTTCAGCAAAAGGACGTCCACTGCTGAACATAGGCCGCCCCCAATGATTTCCACATCGCCCGGTTGGTAGCGGCCTGCATCCAGCGCCTTCCTGCTACCTTTATGAGGTCGATACACCTTGTGGGTGGATGTCCCACGCTGTGCTTGGCAATCCAGAACCTTGCTGCCCCATCGGCCGTCAGTTCTGCGTACTATGTGCCCTGCCCATTGCCACTTCAGCTTACTAATCCGTCGGGCTATGTCAGCGACTTTAGCTCTTTTACGGATCTCCTCAGTTCTGTTTCGATCCCGTCTGTTTTTAATTTATCAGAGGCAAAATATGGAGGATTTGGCTTACATCACGCTGGCCAGACGGGTTGGGGAGGGGAGATAACCCATCTACAGTGTGAGTCTTAATAAAGTGCACACATATGAAAATGGGTGAAACAAGACCCATTTTTATCGAAAAAAAATGTCAAAAAATGTTTGAGATTTTACTTTTAATTTTTTATACAATTGCGTGGAAAATGGGTCTAGTTTCACCCATTTTCATATGTGCACTTTATCAAGACTCACACTGTAAACCCAGCTAAATTGGGAATTAATAACTACATGTAGTTGTCTGTCCATGAATTATTTGCGTCCATACACTCACGGTTTGTTATCGGTCGATAAGTGGGTTCTGCGAAGGGAGTGTAGTTGAATATTTACTTACGAATGTAGATAATTTTATACATTTATCTGTGTACATAACGAAGCTGTACCCAGAAGGCTCATGCGGCTTAACTTACCGTAGCCCCATCTTTAAGGCTGGGTTGCACCATCTTCGTTCGTTCGTTTCAGCCGAAAGACGTCCACTGCTGGACAAAGGCCTCCCCCAAGGATTTCCACAAAGACCGATCCTGCGCCGCTCGCATCCAGGCACCATCTTACTGTAGCTTTAATAACAAATTATAGATGTCAAAAAAATCTGTCAAACTCCAAACAAAAAACAATAGTTACCGTCAAAGTTAGGTGGTGCAACTCAGCGTAAATTCCGTGGGGTAGATAGACCACCAAAAACATTTTCATGCTAAAATGTTGGCAAGATGTCTCGTCTTATCCATTATGGAGTACTGTCAAAAACATATCAGATCTCATGTAGAGTCAATCTTCTAAGTCTTCAAGCCCTAACTTCACAAACTTCTACACTTTAATACTGTCCGTGGTGTAGGTAGTATATCTTTTTTCAAAGGTTATTATACCTTTTTTGTCACCTGTCATTCGCTTTGCACAGGAGGGAAGTCGAACCTTAACTTCGAACTCCTCCTATGTTCTTCTGATTAATTTCGTTGCGAGTCCAATGACAGTTTAACTTTCCCCCGGGACAAACTGACCTTCTTGGGTTTTTATTGGCGGTCAAGCTGTAGATCTTGGCTACACAGGAGTTGCAGCGGTGGGAACGAGAGGTGGGAATAGTCTTTTAGAAAGACTAGTGGCTCTACCGTGCCTGATTCTATTACGGTCTTGCTTAGTAACCGGATATAGAAAATATTACATCGAATTCGCAAAAGCAAGTCATAAAAGGAACTCTATGTGTTTGTAATTGAGATCGGTTTTATGACATAACTTTTAAAGAATTTCTTTGTCATTATTTTATTTGTTATTTCCGCTGTTCGTGGAATCCATGATTTTATACTTGGTTTCATGACTGTCACAATCTTTTGTTTTCGTTAATATCTATTCAATAACGTCAGATTTTACCCTGAATCATTAGTTTCCTTTAAGCTTGGGAAATTGTAGAGTTAAGTAATGTTTCTTCCTTCCTTTCCTACTTTTCCTTCTATCTACCAAAAGACGTCCACTGCTGGACAAAGGCCTGCCTCAATTTCCACTCTGACTGGTCCTGCGCTGCCCCCATCTAGGCACTTCCTGCTGCAACCTTCAGTCGTCGGTCCACTTGAATTGAGAGTTTTTCTGCCCCAACGGCCATCAGTTCGTTTAATAACGGTTGTAGCCTTTTTCATAGTTCATGTACAGGTGTGTATTTACATATTCTTGTTATCATAACCATTTAAATCACTAATTATGTGCATTATGTATTCTGTACTTAAGATTCCAATCAGATAAAACTACAATACAAGTAGTTGTTATAAAGCCTAAAGAGGTCAGAGATTTTGTAAGATTTAAAGGTAAGGTAGGTCTGGCAATAGTGACTAACGCCCGTATTCACAAACATTACTATGAGGTCTCACAGTGCGCGTGGACTCACAGGGTGACACACGAACCAATCACAGAGCTCTATTCAACGCTGTGCGTTCGATTTGCTGCTTCACCTAAGCAAGCACTGCTTCTTCTCAGCACTGGCCTATTTTATTGTCCTGAAGCAGTGATAGGGTTAATACTGAGCTGTGTAAAAGTGCCTTTTAAAAGCCTACATGCATAAAAATGAGTTTAACTTTTATGATTTTTTTATGAGTCTAGGAAGGTATGTTTACTATGTTTAGAGGTGTGAGATACTTTTTAAAAGATTATTAGTTTACTGAATTGAATTTATCTTTTAAATGGTGAAACACCTTAGCTACAAGAGGGTGTCAAAAATACCCAATTGAGTTTCTTCCACCACATGTTCTTCTTAGCTAAAGAATTGAAATATAACCACTTACAAATGCAGGTATTTTTCATGTTTGTAACCTTTATTTTATTAGGTACATTATTACTTTGTAAAGTGTAGAGTGGGGGCTGAGTGTGAGTTTACATCAAACGTCGTCACTAGTGAGCGCAAAATGACATTAAATGTATGACGGATTGTACAGCGCCCCTAGCGGAAACTTTCAAGAACTAAAATTTTCATACATTTTTTAACACGCTCACTAGTGAGGACGTTCGATGTCATGTAAACTCACACTCAGCCCACAGGACTATTCCCACCTCTCGTTCCCACCGCTGACACTCCTGTGTAGCCAGGATATACAGCTTGACCGCCAATCAAAACCCAATCTTCTTTTTGAGACAACCGGTTTTTAGTGTAGAGAATAGAAAACTTCTATCTATGTATACTAGCTAGTAGTTCTGAAATCTGGGAAATCACTGATTTACAATCTTAAATCTTCTGAAGCTTTTAATCCCTTACTAACACGATAACGAATACCTTCATTAGGTCAGTCACTCAGTGGACCGATGATCTAGTGAAGGTCGCGGGAAGCGCCTAGATTAGATTTTTAAATACATGGGGAGGCCTTTGTCTAACTGTGGACATTAGGACGAAGAAAGGTGATATGAAGCATAGAATTCATAGAATATTTCAGTTACTCATCACAAGACATGTCAATGTGTAATCAATACTGGATTAATCACACAACGAATAATCTGTGCCTCAGAATAGAGCCCCGCGGTACGCCAGTGCGCAAACTGACGCGCACTTATCATTGTTATCAGCGAACGTTATATCACCTTTACGCTGAATTTCGAAACTGATAAGATATGCGATATACCATTAATACAAGAGTTTTTAAATATCTGGATATAGAGCAACAGTATCGAACGCCGTAGCCTGTTCGGATTTGGCGCGGAATCCCACCGGTTGTGTTTTAAGTGCTATTTTAATGATCTGAGTGATTTGAGTGCCAAAATGGGATATAAGGGATTGTTTTTTGTTTTTCTCGCAATTGGATTAAGCAGTGCGCAAATAAGTAAGTTTTTTGGATTGTTATGTAATTTTATCGATAGGCGTGGCGGCTATGAGTCATCGGGCGTTAAAGTAACGACCATTTTGACCGGTTTCGATGTTTCACCGGTTGAATGAATAACATAAATACGCCCATAGGTATTCACAAACGATGCTTGCTTAAGTGAAGCAGCAAATTGAACGCACAGCGTTGAATTGCTCTGTGATTGGTTCGTGTGTCACCCTGTGCGTCCACGCGCACTGTGAGACCTCATAGTAATGTTTGTGAATATTATGGTGATTCAAGATTACTCTTTAATTGAATGAAGATGTTATCTGCATAACGGTTTCGCTATAGTCTCTTTCACGTGTAGCATAATTTCAAGTTGAGTACCTAAATGAGAGTGAATAACAGAGCGAAATATTTGTCTTTTTATCATATAGTAACCTTTCTTGAAACACCCTAGTAAGTATAACATACTTTATTTGAAATTAATAAGAGTGCGTTTTCATAAAGCTTCGAATGAAAAGCAAAAGTGTGAGAATTTTAACAGGGATCCTAATAAAAGCTCGGGCCAACTTCCGTTGTTTGAATTAAAAGGGTCATGGGGTGAAATAACTATTTAACTAATGATCTGCCTGATTCGTCTATATGAAATTCAACAAATCAAAAGCCGCAAACTATGCTTGAAACTGAATTGAGTTTTGAGCCTTTCAGAATTGAGCGTGCTACCCACGTTAAGCTTGCACTTAGTGACAAGATGGTGGATAAAGTACTCAATAAATCGATAGAGATCGGTTAGCGTCATGCTGACACGATACATTTACGCGCTGAAAACGTGGTTGTACCACAGAATAATAATAAGTATGTACCTACCCACAAAATTTTTATGAAAAGATTTTCTCATGAAGCTCTTCTACAATTTTACATTTTAACTCATTAAACGATTTCCCGATCAAGCTCTTTAAGGCACGCGCCACTTTTAATTAGATAAAATTAAAAATGCAAATTCATATGTTAGTTCCTTATAAATAACACTTTTCTCAAGTTGAGTTGACTTCTTCTTAAGTGATGATCAAATTAACAGTCCTATGTGTCCTGAAAGGCTCCTTAACAAAAATAATTTGAATATTGAATAAAACTTACAAGTTAATACCAATGCTATGTGACAACTAACAATCCACCTCGGCTTAACCTATGAACGTTTTCTACTCGTAAGTCAGACTAATCTTATGTTTATTTGGTTGAACGCGTTAATCTCAGGAACTACTGGCACAGAATAAGTAATAGTATCTACTGGGCCAATTTGAAAAAATATTTTTGTGTTGGATAGCCCATTTAACGAACATTACTCTGCAACTAATAGGGGCGGAGAAGTAAAAAAAATGTTGCAAAAACGGAAATAGAAAACGGGAAATAAACTAAGTATTCTAACTATAGCACGCGTACGAAATCGTGGGAATAGCTATACAGGGTGGAATTTTGTAATGCCACACCTGGAGGTAAAGTAACATAGAAAATTTTACTCAAAGAAAACGTTCCTTTATTTTTGAAAAGAAATAGAACTGCATTCAAAGATTTCGAAAAAATTGCTTGCTACACCCGGGAATCGAACCAACTAAAATCTGTTAAAAATTACAGCCTGTATTTTATTGCATCGATCGTTAGGGTTAAGTATAAGGATGAAATCTCTCGAACAAACTAGATAAATGAAATGAAAGGAAAACCATGAAATCTTAAATTATTTTAATTATTTACCGAAAATTGTATGGTATGGTAGTGACTTTTTGAAAAATTTTCGGAAATCTTTGAATGCAGTTATCTTTCTCTTCAAAAATAAAGGAATGTTTTCTTTGAGTAAAATTTTCTATCTACAGTATTAAGAGAAGTACTTTCCCTCCAGGTGGCATTACAAAATTCCACCCTGTATAGTTGAAATAGATCCTACAAGTTGATTAAAAATATTTTAGACTCTGTTGCCACCTCAGCTTATAAGTAACCTAATTGTTTGTAAGACTAATACAAATATAATGCATTATTAGGAAAGTGATTCAAACGGCTCACCTTCTGCTATCTTATCGATAAGTGTCTGATATGTGGTCTGTATATTTAGAGATACCATTTCAAAGTCATATGACATTGTATGAAGAAAACTTTAGAAAAAATAAAGGCTTAGCACTATTTTTGTAGTGTAGCTGTGAATATTATGTATAGAATCGTTTCATCCACGAAGACGCGCCCCACCATTCTTCTGCTAATGTTTGAGTGTTATCGGTACACGCTAAATTATCAATGAGTGCATAAGTACGCACACTACAATAATGACGCTCGGATTGCTCGGATCAAACTCTCGATACCCTCGATCAAAAATTGGTGGGGCGCGTCTTCGTGGATGAACGATCATAGCTAGATAGCTGCGCCCGCGACTTTGTACGCGCGAAAATAGTTTGAATGTTTTTTTCTGTTTTTGCAACATTTTTCATTTGATGCTCTGTTCTTATTGGCCGACTGGCCGTAGCTTTATGTAGCCTTTATTACCTGAACCTGAAAGTAGGCTTTAAATAGACTTTTTCACCATTGACCCCATGTCTGGTGATACATTTTAATAAAAAATATGGCAGAAAACGTTCAAACGTGAGTGATAAAGGTGATTCAATTTCTTCTGCCATTTCTTCTCACCATCAGCCGTTAATGTTGTCCCGAAACGGTGGAATTGCAAGCTGTACTTATTTGGGATGTGTGTGTGAACATTACTATGAGGTATCACAGTGCGCGTGGACGCACAGGGTCATACACGAACCACAGAGCTCTTCAACGCGGTGCGTTCGATTTGCTGCTTCACTTACTTATGCAAGCATCATTTGTGAATACGGGTGTATGTATCTACCGAATAAATTAATGAATTTGAAAAGTATTATAACTAAGTAATTCCTTTGATTTCGGTCCAATGACAGTTTAACTTTCTCCCGGGACAAACTTGACCTTCTTGGGTTTTTATGGCGGTCAAGCTGTAGATCCTGGCTACACAGGAGTTGCAGCGGTGGGAATAGTTCGAAGTAATTCCTTCACACTTGTGGTCTAAAATTCATAAGTGCCACTTGTGGTCTAAACTGAATAAATATTTTTTATTTAGATTTTGAATAATTCATGTTTTATTCTGCATTGTCCCAGGCAAAGTGTGCGTGCCGACATCAGACTCGATACGCTGTCAGAACCTGGACAAGGATGGCAGCCAAGTCTCCTGCGAGCCTGTCTCTACAAGGTAAACCATCTTCCTGCAGGTGTCGTAAAAGGCGACTTAAGGTTCGGTCAAACCAACGCGATCACACGCGATCAGCCGTGCAGCGATGGCGATCAGACTCCAGCTCATGAGTGAGTACTATCATCATCGGTTGCTGTATATGATTCTGTGGCTCGACTTTCGCCTGGCGCGGCAACTAAATAAAAAGCCTAACAAAAGCCGGACAGGCCGGACAAGACCCTAAAAAGCCAAACATGTCCGGCTAAAGCCGGACGCCTGGTAACCCTATGCATGCCGGCTGATCGCGTGTGATCACGTTGGTTTGGCTGAACCTTCAAGGACTACATATCAAACGAATTATCTTAAACAATTTTCAAAATGAAAGAATTTTTCAAATTCTAGAATAGTAGGTGGATAGGTGGATAGGTATAGGATGGAAAACCGTATGAATTTTTTGTTTAGTTAGGGCGTGGTTAGGGGACAATGCCCGTTTTCACCATCAATCCCTAATTTTTTAGTGACCCCTATGTAAATAAAATTCCTGTTATTTTTTAAACATAGGGGTCACTTAAAAATTTGGGATTGATAGTGAAAACGGGCATTAGTTTATCAGATCAGCTACAATAGTGCAATAAAACGTAAGATAAAAACAATGACTTATGGTCCTATGTCCCCTAGATGGGGCAGAGGGCGTCCACAACAGTCCTCCATCTCGTTCGGTCTTGAGCTTCTCGCTTGATCTCGCTCCAGGTCTTGCCGATCTTCTTCGCCTCGTCCGCTACAGTGCGCCGCCATGTTTGCCTGGGTTGACCACGTTTGCGTTTTCCTTGGGGATTCCAATCCAGAGCCTGCTTAGGGATGTGATCGGGGTCCCTTCGGAGAGTGTGGCCAATCCAGTTCCACTTGCGGCGCTTGATCTGCTGGTCGATCGGAATTTCGTGGCAGCGTTCCAATAGCTCGACGTTGGAGATTTTCTCGGGCCAGTATATGCCGAGAATTCGGCGAAGGCAGCGGTTGATGAAGACCTGCAGCTGGTGCGAGATAACCTTTGTGACCTTCCACGTTTCACACCCATAGAGCAGAACGGATTTAACGTTGGACCCGAATATTTTGATCTTGACCCTTCGGGTCAATTTCCGTGACTGCCATATGGGGCGAAGTTGTGCGAAGGTAGCTCTGGCCTTGGCAATGCGCGAAGTGATGTCCTCTTCGGTACCTCCAGTTTCTGACACGACGCTCCCGAGGTAGGTGAAATTGTGGACTCGTGCCACATCCTCTGCACCAATCCGTAATGGCGTGCAATTTCTCACTCCAGATCGCATCTCTTGGGTCTTCCGGCAGTTAATTTTGAGCCCTGTGATACCCGCTTCTCGATGTAGGTCATTAAGTTTGGATTGCATATCGTGATGCGTGTGGCTCAGCAAACAGAGGTCATCGGCATAATCTAAGTCTTCTAAGACTCCGATTATACCCCACTCTATTCCACGCCGTTGGTCTTGATATGCGCGATTCATGACTCCATCCAAGACAACCAGAAAGAGAAGGGGCGAAAGCAGGCAGCCTTGCCGGACGCCCGCATGCACCTCGATGTCTTCGGAGATGAGGCCGTCGTGAGTCACCGTACAAGAATATTTCCTGTAGATGGCCTTCAGTAGGTCGATGATTTTCGGCGGGACACCAATGTCAGCGAGTCGCGACCATATACTTGCCCACTTCAGCGTATCAAAGGCTTTTTCAAAGTCTACAAAGGTTAGGTAGACTTCCCTTTGCCATTCTGATGCCTGCTCCAAAATGATACGCAAAGTATTGATCTGGTCGGTACACGAGCGGTTCGGGCGGAAGCCAGCCTGTTCCCTACGCAAAAGAGGTTCAACGGCCCCCGATAACCTATCCAAGATAATCTTGCAGAAAACCTTTNACTAGCTCGGTTTTTTTCGGGTATCCTCCCTAGTGATGAGATTCTGTTTTCAGGCGCAGAATACTCGCCTTTCGCCCTGCATCCTCAGCTCAGCTGCAAGTCTAGGTAGTGGGCACGCAGAGCGTGGCTGCAGCAGGTCCCAGGGTGGACGACGAGGACGTGGATGACGCGGACTGGCCGGGGTTCTGCTACATCGGTGTTCCACTACTTAACACAGCAGAGGGCTTCTTGGCATTTTGTAGGCAATGCTGACCTCACTACGTCAGCGATTACCACCAAGACCATGCCCCGGCTTCCCCCCCCATATATATAAGATAAAAACAATATTCTTCCAGATTTTCAATCAGTTCAATCTTCAATGTCTTCCAGAGTGGAGTGCGCAGCCAGGCTGGTGCGAGGGGCGGCTGACTTCGGTGTGTTTTCTGACGAGGAACTGCTCCTCTTGGCGCAGCAGTCCAACGACCTTCGGGTGGTGGCCACCGTCAGAGACGTGAACAGACAGGGTGAGTTTCATAAGACTTTATTGACTAATATTCGTACTCATACCGATAAGTACGAAGTGTAGTACGTGTGCAGATCTCCATCGGCGCGATCAAAGGCAAATGACAGGTCGCACGACCTATGACAGTTCACGCGACCTGTCATTGGTCTTTGATCGCGCCGATGGCGATCTGTACGCGTTGGTATGGTTCAAGCATCAGCGTCAAATAGTTCAGGACACCCAAAGTGGCCAAAAAGTTGACAGCACATCCTTAATCAAATAACAAAGACGAGTTGCGATCTTTTTGACTACTTTGGCTTGTTTGAAGTTTTTAACGCTGATGAGGTAGGTAGTTAATGCAGTATTTTGCAGTCAAAAGTGGTTTTGACCGATGCCCTTTTAACAAAACAGTTAGGATTTTGACTGCAAAAATGTGTCAAAATGTCTGTCTTCATCTTGGGCGCTTAAAAACTCTCACTGGCTTTGGGGTTCGAGAATAAATCCATCTTTTCAAGATTCACGCACCGATAGAAGTACACGTATCTACTTATTTTATGAAAATTTACGAATACTTACGACATCATCATCATCCGGCAGTCTCCTTTGCAGGAGCATGATCCTTTCTTTACCAGGGACAAATGGAGGACACTCTCTACGCTGGCTCTGAGAAAAATAGTTGTAATAAGTTATTTACCGAATTTCACGTAAAATTTTGCAGAAATGTTTAGCTGCCGAAGGACTGCTAAATGCTTGGTTAATATTAATAGCTAAATGAAAAGTTATGTAAAAAATTGATTTTGTTGATTAAGCTAAACTTTAGGTGGCAACTACTAAAGTTTAGCTAAATGAAAAATAGCTAAACTGTTCATTAAATTCATTTTTTTTCAGTGTAGACGTTTGCGTATATAGTCTCTTACAACCTCGACAAGAAGTTGTCCTGTTGTTTAATTATTTACTTAGTAGTTCTGACTGCTAAAAGAAGATACACATAACCTAATACCTTACATCTTCACTAATTTGACAGTTATTTTGTTTCAGAGCCATACTCCTTCGAAGCTGTAGTGGTGGTGCCCAACAACCACACGAACGGTTTCGCTGGTCTGCAGAACGGTCGCTACTGCCACCCTGGATTCGGAGTGGCTGACATCCGCTGGTCGCCGCGAGTGTTGAGGGCTATGGAAGTCGCTGTGAGTATCGTTCGTTCGTTCGTTTCAGCCAAATTTCCACAATGGCAGGCTAGTGGTGGCCTGAATCCAGCGCCTTCCTTTCCTTTATGAGGTCGTCAGTCCACCTTATAGGTGGACGTCCTACGCGGCTTCCACTCCAGAACCTTGCTGCCCCATTGGCCGTCAGTTCTGCGTACTATGTGCCCTGCCCATTGCCACTTCAGCTTGCTAATCCGTTGGGCTATGTCAGCGACTTTAGTTCGTTTACGGATCTTCTCATTTCTGATTCGATCTCGTAAAGAAACACCAAGCATCATCAGAGAGATCAAGCTCGTTTAAATTTTTCCCTTGCTCATGTTTTTGCATTTGCTTCATCAGGCCGCCCGCACCGACCGCTGCGAAGGAGACGTGGGCTCCAGAACAGCTGAAGAGATGGAGGTGACCACCCTCAGCAACTTCTTCTCCGAAGCCTGCCGCCCTGGACCCTGGAGCGCCAATGCTACGCTCGATGCGAACCTTAGTAAGTTTCTGCAAATAATTTTCTACTTTCTTCATCATCGTCCTCAGCGTAGAGCATGAGGCCATATTTTGAGAGCCAAAATAAAATTTCGGATGCGGTTTTTTAAGAGCCACTACGTTATGTTTTTTCTCGTACATTTATTGACGGTCGAGTTGCATATGGGTGAATTTCAACAAGTGCATATTTTTGCCTAATTTTGGTGGAAATTGTTATTTGTGTATTTTTATTCTTTAATTATAGATCAAATTTATTGGAAACTTATACTGTTTCTAAAATGATTAAGACATTAAATTTTGTCCAGTAGTTTTTTAGATTTTCCTTACACCAAAATTAAGAGAACACCAAAATTTATATTAAAGCACCAAAATTAGAAAATATGCTGTCAGTCGGTCATATCTTAGTGCCAAGCTCAAGAAATGGTTTTAAATTTACCAGCACCGACTCCAAAAATATTAATCATGGTATATTGTCCTAATAAATAAATAACGACGTACTTATTTTCTACTTTTAAGTGATTGTTGGCGTCGGTTTTAATTTTTTTGTTAAAATTATTTTTTTTCATGCTTTTTAGTTGATTAGTCCTTGTTATTGTCACTGAAGAGGGACAGTACCTATGTTTAATGTGATTAAGACTATAATTTTCCATTTTGTAATGGAAAATTATAGTCTTAATCACAATCCAAGTGTAAATAATCTTCCTAGCAAAATACAGGCTCCCTACTTTAAATATCGGCAACTAAAAAGTATCAATGTATCATGTGTCAATGTATGTATCAACAAATGAGTATTGAGTATCATCTAACTCCTAACTTATGTTGTTTGACCTTTCATCATCAGCTCATCTTAAATACCTGAAATAATACAACTGTATGTACATACCTACCTAAAATATTTAAAGAATTATCCTCCAACTCCTAAGCGTTAAGGAGTTTTACCTTCCATCATCACCTCATCAACATTAGATGATGACTACTTGAATAACTTTAGAAAACGTATTGCATTCCTACAAAATTTGAGGTTTACTCTCGATTTCCCTAGGATCCCATCATCAGATCCTGACTTGGTGACAATGGGACCACCACATAAGTGTACCCTATAGAACAAAAAAAGAATTTTGAAAATCGGTTCACAATTGACGGAGTTAAGTCGGTTAAAAATGCTTTGGTGCACCACCAAAAACACCAAAATTGACTCACCAAAATTAGATTCTCGTTGAAAAAGCTAAATTATATGAAATCTGTTTTAAATATAACAATAACATTTTAACACATGGTATGAAAACAGTTCCTTTACATTATACGAGGAATTCAACTAAAAAGAATAGCTTAGAAATCTTATACAAAAAGACACCAAAATTGCAGAATTGTTGTCCGTTTAAAAAAAAACAACACATTTACGTTTTTGGCGGGAAGACGCAGAGGTCTTGCACCCGTCTGCCGTCACTGCTCGCGGGGGCGGTACTAAACCTAACGAATGATGGGAGTGTTTAAATCCTGTTTGATCTTTAAAGAAACTGACGAGCTATTTCATTATTGACACCAAAATCATAAATTTTTCGCGGACAAAACTTAAAGACGTGACTTAATCACAGTTATTTGGGAAACTTGCTTAATTTGGTAATCTCAGATAATAGATAGATTGTATAATCCAAAAATATACTTTTTCCCTAAGTTCTGTTTTGATCTTCAGCTAAAAAAATACATATTGTAAGAAATTAAGGATGTGGACACTGCACCAAAATTAGAAACGCTTAGTTCAATTATTTTTTGTCGAATTTGTAAAAGAAAATACTCATTAATAATGTTGTCCTCAAAATGGAACCTCTGTATATTTTCGTGTAAAAAAAAATTAAAGTTCAATGTCATAAAAAACATATGATTTTCAGCTACGCCGCTCAAAAAATGTGTTTGGGAAATTGACCCATATAAGTAAACCGTTTTACTTTAATAACTAATATGCTGTCACTCACCGGGCTATACAAATGTTACATGCTTTCAAGGGGTTTTAAATAATGAAAAAAGCAACCCAAGAGCTGCAACTTTACATCGAAAAAGCAGCGGTTTGTTGCTTCTAACCTATAGCAGTTCACTGCTTGGATGTAGGTAACCCTCCCCTATGATTTAACAGATTTTTTATGTATCTCTGTTTACAGACATGACGACCAGAAAGACACGTCAAATAATTTTCGCGAATAATGCCTAATGCGAAAACTGTTTTCGCACTAATGTCTCTCTCGCTAGTGTCTTTCGCGCTTATGTCTTTTCGCGCAAACGTCCGTTCATGTTCATAATATTGTCTTTACGCACTAGTGTCTTTCGCGCTAATGTCTTCGCGCAAATTACTTTCTTGCTTGTGTTTTTCGCGAAGTATCCCGATACGACTTAATAGCAGAATAGAACTACTTACTTGCACCACTTTGAAATACATAACCTATCTTTTTTGTATGTCATTGAGCTAAAATATTAATTTCTTTCCAGAGAGCCGTTTCCCCAACCTTTGCGCTATGTGCTCCGCTCCCGGCGTGTGCGCAGGCTACGACGCTAGCGCCGCCGTCAGCGTGGCAGGCGTGTTAAACAGCAACAGGCACATCCAGGCGCTAGACTGCCTTACTACCAACGGAACAGTGGCGTTTGTCGCTTGGCAGCACGTCAGGGAGTTCTTTACCGTAAGTATACCATTATTTCGTTTTACCCGATCAAGCTAAGGCTTTTATCACGCTGCACCGCGCTCCGCCGCGGTCCGCATGGCGACATTAACGAATCCCGCGCGCAAACGCGTTGTCAGTGTGTTGTGCCGCGCGTGTTTTCTATACAAACTGAGGTACTTGCATACAATGATTAAATCTGTCGTCCCGCGTACCGCGGCGGAGCGCGGTGCAGTGTGATAATCGCCTAACTGCGCACCTCGCCGGAATGCGCACACCTTCGTCCTTACAGCGTCGATGTGACGTCACAGCTGCTAAGTGCGCAGTAATTTCACCGGGTTGTAGATAGGCCCTTTTTACACGTCCGGCATTTTACACGTCCCAATACTCCCAATATAGCTTGCCCTACCACCACTTCGGGACAACATTATATCTTGTGCTTCATTCGTTTCAGTCAAATGACGTCCACTGCTGGACAAAGGTCTCCCCCAACGATTTCTATAACGACCGGTCCTGCGCTGCCTGCATCCAGGAACTACCCGCAAGCATCACCAGATCGTCGGTCCACCTATGGGAGTCCTGCCCACACTACGTCTTCCGGTTCTAGGTCGCCACTCGAGAACTTTTCTGCCCCAGCGGCCATCAGCTCTGCGAGCTATGTGCCCCGCTCACTGCCACTTGATTTTAGCGATTCTGCAGGCTATGTCAATCACTTTGGTTCTCCTCCGGATCTCGTTTCTGATTCGATCACGCAGGGAAACTCCGAGCATGTAGAAATGATATTAACCAAACCATTTCTTCCAGTTGCGCAGTCCCCAGTTCGCAGCTACCCACAGCATTCTCTGTGAAGACGGCTCCCTCGCCCCCCTCACCACAGAGGCTCTGAACACCCCTCTGTCGCCTTGTTCTTTGGTGAAGCAGCCGTGGAGTGCTGTTGTTGCTAGAAGGTAAGTTTGATTTTTTTTTCTTGCAAGAGGCTTGCCAAGCCATTTTTGGGTACTTCTCATTTACACTCAAATTTGATGGTCACACAATAATAGTTCATAAACGGTATAAGTTAGAACAATAACTTTGAAATCAGATGATAAAATATCTATTTAGCTACATACAAAATAAATTTTATCGTAATAGAAGCAAAAATAATACGAAAAAATCACATGAAACGATAAAAAACGGGGTCATTTTTCGCGTTCTCATCGTGTCACACCTTCGGTTGCAATGAAACATTTGGTTACTGCATTCACAATTTTCATTCAATTTGTGTGCAGCATATACTAAAATCATCGTAATTAAATATGCTTTCCACACAATAGTCAAAAAAATATCTTCTTATAATTATTTTGAATTGGGAAAGCGAAATACGTTGGTCACACGATTTTAGGTACCTAAAATTTTGAGTTATAATACAAGATTGCCGTTAAACCGAACACCAGCAACCAATCACAGCGTTCTATTCGGTTAACGTAAGTCGCGCTTCGACCATTGGGGAGGTGAGATAGGTCGATCGTCGCTCCGCGAAAAAAATACGTAACTTTTTGTGATTATCCATAGACATACCGTCGCTTGCTTGAACAATATTTTNCACATCAAGCGCTACAATTTTTGTTTACAAAAAGTTGAAATAAGTTAGAAATAAAATTCGCCACGAAGGTGACGATGAGAACCGTGGCGATGAGAAATAGCCTTTTTAATTCGTTAATCTCATTAACACATAAGCAATAAGTAACTTCCCGGTCAGTCTGACACCTTCACCGTTCGCTATTTTCGCGTCAAATTCATATTATTCTTTATAAAAAACATCATTTTTCTTTCAATAGCGCCGTAGCAGAGACCGTAGCGAGCAACCTTCGCACGTGGTGGCCTACTGGCGCGGACTTCGGCGCCAGCTCGTGGCAGACCAACCTGTTCGCAGTCCTGGCCGGAGGCGCCAACTGGAACTTGGTGCACGAAACTAACCTGGTCTCACCCGCCAACTACACTGGAGCAAGTGAGTTTAAGGCATTAGGCTGGTTTTAGTGTCACGCGGACCGTGCGGTGCGGACCCGCTCCGCACGCCCTATCTGTATAAACGTCTAGGGAGCGTTTTAGAGTAATGCGGTCCGGAGGAACCGCTCCGCTCCCTAGCAGTTCATACAGAGGCTGCGCGGAGCGATCCGCAATGACTGTCCGCGTGACACTAAAACCAGAATTAGACCCTAGAAACAACAAATTCTGGATTATTTCCACCTCTCGCTCCCACCGCTGCAACTCCTGTGTACCCAGGATCTACAGCTATCACATTAATATTATAAAGGCGAAAGTTTGTATGTTTGTTACTTCCTCACGTCTAAACGGCTGGAGCAATTTTAATAAAATTTGGTATGGTGTTAGCTGACACCCTGGATTAACACATAGGCTACGTTTTACCGCGGGTAACACCGCGGGGCACAGCTAGTAAACAATAATGTAGAAAAAGCTAAAACATGAATTTTATAGGACGTGCAAAAAAACGAAAATGGTAAATTGTGTTTTTCGCAGCAATAAAAACCTGTGCTGCTCGTGAAATTGCCATTTTTTCCAACAATACTTCCAGCTGGAGATAGTTGAGCGAGGCACTTTGTTTTTATTTTTCCGACAAGTCCAAGCCTTTAAAAGTAACGTAATCAGTCGTAGGAGAATGTTCCACTTGTGGGCAGAACTATTTATGGGTCTACCTAGTTTACATTATTCAACTTAAAAGCTAATTCAATTTTTCTCCTCTAGTCCGCAACATTCCCAGCATCGACTCGGCTCCGTCCTGCCTGCCAGCCCGTCGCTGGTGCACCGTCTCCACCCTAGAACAGACCAAGTGCACCTGGGTGCGGAACGCGGCGCATTCCCTGGGCATCCAGCCCCCCATATCTTGCCAGCAACGAGCGAGCGTGTTTGACTGTTTGGATGACATTAGGGAGTCACGATCTGACTTCTTTTCGGTGGACTCGCACTACGGATATATTGCTAGACGGTAAGAGAAATTTAAAGACTTTTATCATAAGTAGTAACCTTTTTTATCCACAACTGAAGCCCTCACTTGATGGACAGTGATGATCAGACCAAAAGAACCGAGCTTCACACGGAATCCTCAACCACAGAGGAACTGGCTACCTGTTAAAGAATAAATGTAAATATGGCAACAGACTTAGGTAAGATGGTGGTAGCTGGCCAGGCGGACTATGTGCCTTACCGCCAACCAAACCCAGCAGAAATTAATGTTGCCCACACTGGGAATCGAACCCGGCACCTCTGAATCGATCTTAATACTTGACCATAGAAGCTTTAAGCTTAGTACTGGTGCACCGTCTCCACCCTAGAACAAACCAAGTGCACCTAGGTGCGGAACGCGGCGCATTCCCTGGGCATCCAGCCCCCCATCTCCTGCCAGCAACGAGCGAGCGTGTTCGACTGTTTGGATGACATCAGGGAATCACGATCTGACTTCTTTTCGGTGGATTCGCATTACGGATATTTGGCTAGACGGTGAGAATTATTTTGACTAATTAAGGACAGGGCCAGACCTGGCGAGACGTAGGGAAGGGAGCAAGAAGAGTAATTTAAACAAAGTCCAATTTTTGAGGTCTTACGGTTGGAAATGACATCCCAAAACCAAAGTTAGTCAATCTGAGAGCTTGCGATTTGCTTCTGGTGGCTCCGTATGGCGCTTAGCCGTCAAGCGCCATAAGCGCCACCTGGTGATATGAGCTTGCAGACACTAGCACTCTTGACGGCTCTTGGCGGACGCTTGGAATCTCATGCTTTGCGACCAGAAACACGCTTCGATCTCCTCGCCAAATGGCTCGCAAGCGCCGTCAATCTGAGAGTTTGCGATTTTTTACTTCTGGTGGCTCCGTATGGCGCTTGACGGCTCCGCTTGGTGACATGAGCCTACAGACACTAGCACTCTTGACGGCTCTTGGCAGACGCTTGGAATCTCATGCTTTGCAACCAGAAAGATCTCCTCGCCAAGTCTGTGCTAGCCTTTACTGATAGCATAGCACTGGTACTACACAATAATAGTACTTAGTCTCTTTGGAAGAAACCAAGTGCACCTGAGTGCGTAAAGCAGCGCACTCGATTGACTTAAGTCTAATACGTATGTAATAAGTTAATATGTATTCTTATGTTATTTATTTTATCTAATCCTCTGTAAGTATATTAACCGTCATATTTTTGGACCGCCTTATGCCCGTTTTCACCATCAATCCCTAATTTTTAAGTGACCCCTATGGTAACATATAAAAGGAATTTTGTTTTCATAGGGGTCACTTAAAAATTAGGGATCGATGGTGAAAATGGGCATTAGTCTCTCTAATTGACCAGTGGTTGACTGGCAGAGAATGCCACCTGGCATTAAGTCCGCCACTGTACAGTTTTATTTGCAAAAGTATAAATACATAAATTATGTCAGAGGTCAGATAGTTTTCGACTTAGCTCCTTCAACTTGACTTCCAGAGGAGGCAGCTATGCCTATGCCTTGTGGGACATATCATATTTAATTTCCTCTGTGCAGTAATGTTTAAGCAAATATTCCTCCACCAGCCACTACAACCTGTCCCCCGTGAAGCTGGTCCAGAACAGCCGCGGAGCCTCCTCCCGGGTGGCCACCCTGATCAAGTCGTCCGCCGCAGAGAACATCACCCGCTTCGAGAACCTGAGGGATAGAGTCGCTTGCTTCCCGGAATACGGCAGCATTGGTGAGAGAATACTCTATTTCTATCTTTAATATAGACTGCGCCAGATTCAGGGTTGTTTTTTAAAGAGCTGTTCAGAATATATCACAGTGCGGGTTTATGCTGCATGGCCTAACGTGCGGGTGTGAATGGCCTATACAAATTAAGTATGGGCCCTTATAGTTAACAATACCTCTATCACTTTTAATTTATAACCGCCTCACAATGGCGCTACGTTAACGGCGAATTCAATGCCTACAACGCCATCTCGTAGCAACCTTCTAAGAACTAACTCACCAAATAATTAATTGGTATACCTCAATAAATAAAAAAAAAACAAAAAAAAAAAACCATCTACGTCGTCGAGCAAACATTATTCAAACTCTTAAGTAACTACGATGCTCATTGACCGGCGCGCGTCGGAGGGCACTTACACGGCCGTAAAGAAAATAGTATTATATTAACAGTTCTTAGAGTCGTAATTGCTTACAACAGATTAACTGATATCAATCCGGACGGATGCGCGAGCATGCGTCGGAAGCCGGTCGGCTCCGAGCGTATTCCAGCGGATACGCGCGCGGACGCGCGCTTAAGTAACACCCAATTTTTACGCTGCGCTACACGCCGACTCGCGCCGGTCAATGTGATATACCTGTCTTAATCTAGTTTGTGGTGTAAGTAATTTTGTTAGTGGTACCTATTTTTTAAATAAATAAATAAACCCCCACAGCGTACGTGGCGTTCCTCCGAGCGGCCCAAGACCGCGGCGTCATCAGCTCCACGCAGTGCAACTACCAGCGCGCGGTCGGAGAGTTCTTCAGTGGCGCGTGCGCACCGGGCGCGCTGCACCACTCGCACACCATCTCCGACGCCTCGGACGTAAGTTAAAGAAATACGACAGAAATAAGGAGACAAAGAGAGATAACAGACATCACCTCGTCGCAAAGTAGGTAATTACCAGTGCGCGGTAGGAGTCGCTCTGACGTAAGTAGAAAGAGAGACAAAACATGTACTTTATAGGGAGACAGACAGAGAGAACACAGTCATCAGCGAGCATAACCCTTTCCATAGCACACTGTTTACCTTCCAGCTTCTTTATAAGGCCTTTAGTGTCAGCAACAATATCAGCTCGACCTCCATCTCTGACGCTTCTGACGTAAGTAGAGAGGGAGAGAGTTAAAAGATAGACTTTATAAGGAGACAGATAAAGAAAGCAGAGTCATCCATCGGCTCGTCACAAAGTAGGTAACTACCAGCGCGCGGTGGGAGTCGCTTTGACGTAAGTGAAGAGAGAGAGACAGAAATAGACTTTATAAGGAGACAGACAAAGAAAGAAGAGTCATCCATCAGCTGGTCGCAGAGTAGGTAGGTAACTTACCAGCGCGCGGTAGGAGTGGCTCTGACGTAAATAGAAAGAGAGACAAAAAATAGACTTTATAGGGAGACAGACAGAGAAAGCAGAGTCATCCATCAGCTCGTCGATCCATTTCCCGCAGAGCGCGCGGTATGAGTGGCTTTGACGTAAGTAGAAAGAGAGACAAAACATACACTTTATAAGGAGCCAGACAGAGACAACAGTCATCAGCTCGTCGCAGTGCAACTACCAGCGCGCGGCAGGAGTCATTCTGACGTAAGTGGAGAGAGAGAGACAGAAATACACTTTCTAAGGAGACAGACAGAGACAACAGTCATCAGCTCCACCCAGTGCAACTACCAGCGGTGGGAGTCGCTCTGACGTAAGTATCGAGAAAGAGAGACAAAACATACACTTTATAAGGAGCCAGACAGAGACAACAGTCATCAGCTCCACGCAGTGCAACTACCAGCGCGCGGTCGGAGAGTTCTTCAGCGGCGCGTGCGCACCGGGCGCGCTCCACCACTCGCACACCATCTCCGACGCTTCGGACGTAAGTGGAGAGAGGGAGAGACGGAGAGAGAGAGAGAAAGAGGGAGAGAGACAAAAGATAGACTTTATAAGGTGACGGAAAGAGAAAGCAGAGTCATCAGCTCGTCGCAGAGTAACTACCAGCACGCGGTAGGAGTGGCTCTGAGGTAAGTAGAAAGAGAGACAAAAGATAGACTTTATGAAGAGACAGACAGAGAAGACAGACAGAGACAACAGTCATCAGCTCCACGCAGTGCAACTACCAGCGCGCGGTGGGAGTCGCTTTGACGTAAGTGAAGAGAGAGAGACAGAAATAGACTTTATAAGGAGACAGACAAAGAAAGAAGAGTCATCCATCAGCTGGTCGCAGAGTAGGTAGGTAACTTACCAGCGCGCGGTAGGAGTGGCTCTGACGTAATTAAAAA